TCACTTGGATACACATATGAACAGCAGAGAGCTCTGGGTGTTGGGACCTTACTCACCGGGAATGACTCATCAGTGCGCTGCCTGCTGCCTTGAATCCGAGGAGACCCTCCCCAGCACCGAACCGCCGTGTGTCCTCGGCGGCCACAGTTGGTGCAGGGGACAGCCTCCTGCCTGGCCTCCCTACTACCAGCACCCCCGAGCTCCATAGAGCTCGGCTCGGAGGTGCTAGGAATGGAATGGACGGCCCCAGCGCTGGACGTCCGCAGGTAGCCAACAGGGTATCCAAGCGAATCGACATGTCCACCAGCTGATCGAAGGTTGGTGTCCCTGCAGGCCAGCTCTCGACGAACGTCCTCCCTCAGGCTGCATCTGTAGTGGTCGATGAGGGCCCTCTCATTCCATCCCGAATTGGCAGCCAGAGTCCGGAAGTCCAGTGCGAATTCCTGCGCGCTCCTTCTCCCCTGTCTGAGGTGGAATAGACGCTCACCCGCCGCCTTCCCCTCCGGGGGATGATCGAACACTGCCCTGAAGCGGCGGGTGAACTCCGCATAGTTCACAGTAGCGGCGTCTATCCCTCCCCACTCGGCGTTGGCCCACTCCAGTGCCTTGCCGGACAGACAGGAGATGAGGGCGGACACGCTCTCGTATCCCGAGGGTGCCGGGTGAATGGTTGCCAGGTAAAGTTCCACCTGGAGCAGGGAACCCTGACACCCGGCTGCGGTGCCATCATATGCCCTCGGGAGCCCTTTGGTCACTCTTCAGGGATGTGTTTTAAGTTAGGCTATTCAGGGGTGCGTTTTGGGTCAGGTTATTTAGGGTTGTGTTTTGGGACAGGGTATTCAGGGGTGTGTTTTGGATCAGGGTATTCTCTGCTCTCTTCAGACAGGTGTCTTTTTAAGTCCCTTGGGGAATGTGCAATGCTGAACTCCTGGGGTGCCATTATTAATGGAGGGCTCTTCGCCTGTGTGTGTTTGTGTGTGTGTGTGTGTCTGTGTGTGTGTGCGTGCGAGAGAGTGATAGTGAGAGAGAGAGAGAGAGAGAGTGCTGCTCCATGTGACAGTGTGCTTGTGTGGTGCGCTGTTTGTTCCTCAAGCGGCTGAGGGTCTGCTGCAGTGAGGGAGACACACACACATACACACACACACACACACACACACGGAGAGGGGGAGACCAGGCTTCACCATTCAGCACGACCGCACACACTCTCCTTCAGAGAGAGAAAGAGAGAGAGTGAGAGTGGGGGTAAGTGCATTGCAGTACGGCTTTCAGACATAGTTAGTGGTAATGAATACTGCAGTTTGACTCTGTCTGTCTCTCTGTATGTCTCTGTCTCTTTGTATGTATCTGTCTGTATGTCTCTGTCTGTGTCTGTCTGTGTGTCTGTGAGCTGAAAGATGCTGTTGTCGTCTGTGCAGGTGGGTTTGTACTGGGGATGGGATAGCATGATATAGGGAGTGGGACAGATACTGTTCAGTGCATGGCGTGATAGAATGCTAAAAGGTTGTGTGTTAGCCTTTGTATTATTGATGTCGTTCGTGTCTGTCCTTCTCTCTTTCTGTGTGTGTGTGTGTGTGTGTGTGTGTGTGTGTGTGTGTGTGTGTGTGTGTGTGTGTGTGTGTGTGTTTGTGTGTGTGGTGGGGGCAGCATGGTCCTATTTGGGTACTGAGGTGTGTGTGTGTGTGTGTGTGTGCGCTGCTTGCGTGTGCTTGTGTGTGTATGTGTTTGTGTATGCGGGTAGTGTGTGTGTATGTAGTGTGGGAGGCTGCTGTGAATATAAGATGAGATGTAGCTGGGGAAAGCACCTTGCGGTACATGTGAGGGTGCTTGCTACGGATTTTGCATGGATACTAGGCTCAGATAAATGATGATTGTTTCGTAGGGACTTTAATGTCCTCGAACTTAACCCTTTAAGTGGCGTGGAAATAGATATTGTGTGTATTGGCTATAGTGTGTATTTTCTCAAACAGTGTAATTGTGTTAGCTGCTGATGTAGATTGTTGATTGTATGTAGTAATAGGTTTTTATTCATTCATTACAATTTATTAGTCATGAAGCAATAAACGTCTGCACATGCACAATGACCGTATGAGTCTGCGTGTGTGTGTGTGAGTCTGCGTGTGTGTGTGAGAGTCTGCGTGTGTGCATTTGTGGTCCTGTCATGTGGTAATTTCTGCAAGTGGTAATTTTCTCTGCATGTTAGTGAATAGAATATTGTAATGCCTTGCTATTCAATTTAGATGATCAAATCTTGATGACTCTAATGCTGTGATCTCAACTCCAGGCAATTGAAACTAATTTAGATAGATGATGCCCTTGTATACCAGCCCATTATAGAAGCTGGATGTTAGGTTAGATACTGTTATAGTGTTCAAGCAATGAAAACCCAATCTAGATGTGATTTCTAGATAAAGGGCAGTGGTAGAGTCATAGAGTGGGATCCTGGTGATTAGAGATGACTGTGGGGCTATGAAGAGTCCGCTCTAAAAGGTGAAAAATGATTGATTATTAAAATGATTACCAATCAAACATGGAAAATGAATGTATATGATTATAAATTACACACTCACACACACCTAAACACTCCTCATCTGCCCTTTGACCTAAGCCTGAGGTGGCTCATTAGGGAACTTCTCTCCCTCAAGAGTTTCCAGTGCTATTTATAGAAACACTCCAGTTCCATGGGAAAATCTTCAATCCCCTAAAATCGCTCAGAGAGTACGAGAGAGAGGAGAGAGAGAGAGAGAGAGAAGCGATAGAGCATAGCAGAGAGGAGAAAGCGAGAGCGATATCGGATGAGAGATATCAGCGTCTATACTCTCTCTATCTCTCTGCTCTCTCGATCTCTCTATCTATATCTCTCGCTCTCTCTCTCTTCTCTCCTCTCTCGCCTCTCGCTCTATCTCGATATCTCTCCCTCCAAGGGTCAACCCTTGCAGCATCAGGTCACTCTAATCCTAGAGAAAGAAGGGGTCGATTGCAGCGAACAGGCAGAATGTAGCTCTGTGCTACGCATTACAGACGGATTTCTTAAAACGCTACTAATGAGAGATGACATGCCCCTGTGTGTTAAAGCAAACTTGCTTGCAATGAAAAACCCACAAGAATAAATCAGCAGATTAGTTGATCTCTAGTTGTTACCAGAGATACTGTATATAATGATGAGATGGTCTTGTCTTCGCCCTAACAATGGGAGGCGTTGTCTCAAAGGCGGGAAGGCTCGCCACTTGTTCTGCTTGGTCTAATTAACCAGCTATATCTAACAAGACAAACACGCAAACGCACCCACCCACCCACATACACACACCGCATCACACACAGAGTGGTCAGTGAGGTTAGTGTATGATGTGCACAGGTGTTTCTTTTATCTGTCAGACAGACAGACAGAGGGCCGCTGTGTGCAGCTGTTTGTCTGTCTGTCTGTGTACACGTCAGTTCTTTTATCACAACATGATGTATTCATCCACAACAACACCATTACAACGACAACACAACAGTCACATCACAGGAAAAATAGGTTGAATCTGCACTGAACTCGTGAAGCTGTAACTGTCCAATGGAGAAGACAATATGGCCGACAAATGGCATCAGTCTTATTCTTTTATATGTCATAATGCATTACAGTTATTGTAGCAGATGATCGTGTTACTGTAGATTTCTTGAAGAAATACTGCACTAGTACAATAGTGTGTGTGTGTGTGTGGTGTGTGTGTGTGTGTGTGTGGGAGTCTTTGTTTGAACAGATGGAGTATATCTGCCTCATACACACAAGCAGTGATATGTGTGTTGTATGCCACACGTTGTATGCCACACGGACACATGCGCGCACACACACACACACACACACATACACACACACACACACACACACACACACACACACACACACACACACACTGATGTGTGTGTGTCTGGCTGCTGTGTGGGAGCTAACGGCTATGTTTCCACACCTGGTGATGGGCTCAGAGCCTCAGATGCTGCTGGTCCACAGGGCAGACAGACCTGGACACAGCTGCTGAGATGGAGGGAGCAGGGAGGGAGGGAGGGAGGGGTAGCATAGGGAGGGAGGGATGAGTGTGGGTGGGCACTGTGACAGAGACTGGGTAATTATCAGGTGAAAATATACAAATAGATCTAAATTGGTGTATGCGTGCATTTGTGGGTGTATGCATGTGTGCGCTTTGTTAGAAGGCGTTTCTGTGTGTTGTGTGGCCCTTTTTTGCATTGGAGGTTTTTTGTTGCAGTGTTTGTGTGTGCTTTTGTGTTGCGGTCGTCTTTATTAGAAGGTATTTCTGTGTGTTGCTGTGTGGACCCCCTGCCTCGAGTCTCCCAGTGCTGAATCCTTGTCAGCCGTGTTAACACCCCCTCTATCTCAACCTAAAAGGACAACAGCGAGAGGGAGAGGGGGATAGAGAGAGGAGAGAAAATGGTTAGCGATTAAAGAGAGGAGGAGAGGAAGGAAATAGAGATGACAGAGAGAGAGAGGAAGAGGGAGAGAAAGAAATGAGGCAGAGGGAGAAAAGAAGAGAAGAGAAGAAGAGGAGGGAGAGATAGAGAAGCGATAGAAGATAAGACCGAGTGATGAATAAGTGATGAATGTTGAAAGGGTTGTGTCTGTTATGTCAGTCTGTCTGTCTACTGGGAGCCTCTCCCTACCTCCCTCCCTCCCTCAGCCCGGAGAGAGAGGGAAAGAGAGGAGGAGGAGGGGGGGGCGATGGGCTCTCGGCCTTTACCAAGGCACTCCGCCTGTCACCTCGCCTCAGACTCAAAACAGAGGGAGTGTGAGGGGGCAGACAGAGAGAGATAGAACGGAGGGGGGATAAGCAATAAGGGAGAGAGTGAGGACATCTTTGAGGGGGCTGAGAAAGAGAGAGAGACAGGGCAAGCGAGGGCAAGGAAATGTTGCGGGGAAAAGTAATGAGAGCGAGGCAGATCGTGAGCGCCTAAGAGAAAGAGGGAGAGAAAGCGAGGGAGGGGGCTTGTCCTCACTCCCCTCTTAAAGACGGAGAGCGGATCTCCCACCGGCTCAGAGGCTAGGCAGAGGAGACATCCGTACACTCATCATCCTTGTCTCTCCATCTCTCTATCCATCCATCCATCTATCCATCCAGGTGATCACTCCATTCCGCAGGCTCATCCTCTGTGCGGAGAACAGGAAAGAGATGGAGGACTGGATCAGCTCGCTGAAGTCCGTCCAGTCCAGAGAGCATTACGAGGTAAGACCCGATCCATTCTTTCTTCTCTATAGCAACAGATCCACGGCCTGTGTGAGAGCGAGATAGAAAGAGGGTCGAGAATAAGAGAGGAGGCATGGAGAGGGGGAAGGAGAGAATTGGGAAAAGGAGAGGAGACGGAATGAGAAGGAGAGAGGTGGTATGCAGGGTGTTGCAGAAAACAATAGATATTTGATCTGAGCATTGGTTTACTGTGGAGGCTTATGATGATGTCAGTTGTTGCTGTTTGGAGTGCCGTTATATTTTGTTGTGATATTGCTGTGTTTCTATTGTTTATTTTGGAGATGTGTGTGAGCGGCAGGGTAGTGTAGTGTACGCAGTGGGGCCCGTGCTCTGTAGCGTGCAGTAGACTGGAACATCTATTTCACCCACTGAGGGTGGTCGTGGCTGCCCAGCTCACAGGAGGCATACACACATGCATATGCACACACACACTCACGTACACACACGCGCACGTGCGCGCACACACACACACACAGACATACACACATAAACTCAAAGCAGTCTCACCAAACAGTGTTGTATATACAGAAAGGCTTTACAGGTTTTTACCATCTAGTGTCTGTCTCCGCTCTCCTTACTCTCTGTGTGTCTTCCCTTACGGAAAAACCACATGATTTCACATGTTACATTTCTACATGTTTTGCACTCATGTGGAATCATGTGAAACCATGTGGTTTTGGAACACTTCACATGTGATGATATTTCACATTAAGTTTCACATGTGGATTTTCACATGATCACATAACCTTTCACATCTGAAACCATGTGGTTTTGGAACACTTTGCACGTGATGATATTTCAAAATGTTATTTCACATATGGATATATTTCACATGAGATTTCACAGGTGATGCCCTGCAAACAGAAATTAGTCATTAGGATGTCCACGAAACCTCACGCAATTGCAGTGTTTACAATTTACATATTTGACATACACTACATGACCAAAAGTATGTGGACACCTGCTCCTGTCCACATCTCATTCCAAAATCATGGGCATTAATATGGAGTTGGTCCACCCTTTGCTGCTATAACATCCTCCACTCTTCTGGGAAGGCTTTTCACTAGACGTTGGAACATTGCTGCGAGGACTTGCTTCCATTCAGCCACAAGAGCATTAGTGAGGTCGGGCACTGATAATGGGCAATTAGGCCTGGCTCGCAGTCGATGTTCCAATTTATCCCAAAGGTGTTCGATCGGGTTGAGGTCAGGGCACTGTGCAGGCTATTCAAGTTCTTCCACACTGATCTCGACAAACCATTTCTGTATGGACCTCACTTTGTGCACGGGGGCATTGTCATGCTGAAACAGGAAAGGGCTTTCCCCAAACTGTTGCCACAAAGTTGGAAGCAAAGAATCGTTTAGAATGTAATTGTATGCTGTAGCGTAAACATTTCCCTTCACTGAAACTAAGGGGCCTAGCCCGAACCATGAAAAACAGCCCCAGACCATTATTCCTCCTCCAAACTTTACAGTTGGCACTATGCATTGGGGCAGGTAGCGTTCTCCTGGCATCCGCCAGGGACTGCCAGATAATGAAGCGTGATTCATCACTGCAGAGAACGTGTTTACACTGCTCCAGAGTCCAATGGCGGTGAGCTTTACACCACTCCAGCTAATGCTTGATATCGCGCATGGTCATCTTAGGCTTGTGTGTGGCCACTCATCCATGGAAACCCATTTCATGAAGCTCCCGACGAACCGTTATTGTGCTGACGTTGCTTCCAGAAGCAGTTTGGAACTCGGTAGTGAGTGTTGCAACCGAGGACAGACGATTTTTACACGCTATGTGCCTTCAGCACTCAGCAGTCCCATTCTGTGCACTTGTGTGGCCTACCACTTCGTGGCTGAGCTGTTGTTGCTCATAAACATTTCCACTTCACAATAACAGCACTTACAGTTGACCGGGGCAGCTCTAGCAGGGCAGAAATTTGACGAACTGACTTGTTGGAAAGGTGGCATCCTGTGATGGTGCCACGTTGAAAGTCACCCTTCAGTAAGGCCATTTTACTGATCATGTTTCCTATGGAGATTGCATGGCTGTGTGCTTGATTTTATACACCTGTAAGCAACGGGTGTGGCTGAAATAGCTGAATCCACTAATTTGAAGGGGTGTCCATATACTTTTGTGTATATATATAGTGTACATGACTACATTGTGTATGTTTATTTATACAGTAATTATTATTCAACATGTCCTTACCTGGGATTTGAACTCATAACCTCTTGGTTTACGCCATTCCAATATTCCTGCTATGCCACCATGTCTGTGTCAAAAACGAATTTCACCTGTATTTCTACACTTTGGAAATCTCAGCTTTGTTAAAAATACACTCAAGAAAAACGATTATATTTATCACAGTGATTCAGGAGTAACATTAAAACAGAATAATATATCCCACCAACATTAGACAACTATACAGAAAACCCTCAAATTGCTGAAATAAGTAAATGTAATCAATGATGAGAGAATAGTCAGATTAACCTAAGTGCAAAGATGTATAATAGGTAATGAATCTGGAGGGGACTCTGTGGCACAGCAGAAAGATCAGCATACCCCAAATCCAGAGGTTGTGAGTTCAAATCCCAGGTGGGGTCATATTGAAAAGTCAGCACTAAGTGATCATGTCAAATGTAATCATGTTGATTAGAGATGTTTACACTATTTTATCTGAGCAGCGTACCACTTACCTTAAACCTCCCATACCATTTCATTACTTTCCTGACAAAAAAAAAACGTTTGAAATGTGCATATACACATGTGAATTCATATTTGTTGTGAAATCCCATTTCACAAATTTCACATTTGAGCTGAAATTTCCACATGTGAAAACGAGACGGGAGGTCAGTTAGTTGTTGACGTGAAACTATATGTTCACATGTATTAAATTTAGAGTTCACATGTTAACACCACCTTTTCACATGTGAGGAAAATAATATGTTTTTGAAATGTGCAGTTTCAAATGTTAAAAACTTTCACGTGAAAACTTAACTATCACATGTGGAAAAACATTCACGTGAAAATCGAATTTGCGGTTTTACATGTGAAAAATGGTTAAAATGTCACGTGTAGTTTCAAGGTTTCACATGTTGAAATGTTGCATCCATGTTGTCACATGTTTTCACATGAGATCATGTTTTCATATGTGTAGTTTCATGTTATTACATGTTGCTTTTACATGTTGACACATGTTAGCACATTAACTTCACATAAGATCATGTGATCACATGAAATTACATGTGAAACGTGATCACATGTCAAATTCATGTGGTTTTCCCGTAAGGGTTAGGACTCACTTGATGAAGGAAAAAGAGCTTGGCACAAAATAATCCCTCATATCCTCTCTAACGAACCAATTCATCTTATTACAACAGACAAATAAGAGTGGCTGTTTGATATTCATGCTTAAAAACAATCATTGTAAAATCTCTACATCAAGATGATTATAACAGCATTGCCATTTAGAAATGATCATTTTAAAAATGTTTTGCCGTGACAAGAAACATATTACTGTTGATTGTGGATGACTGCAATGCTAGTCTCCAGGCAGATACAGGATATACTGTACAGTAGTGTGCCAGCACTGCATATTAATGCCTTTGATGTGGGAATGAAAGATGATATAAGATTGTTTCCCTCTCTACCCCCTCTCCTCTCCACTGCAATGCAGTAGCACCCCAGAGCCATAGAGTAGAGCTACAGGTTCAGGAAACTATACTCCCATGTTGGAACCACAGGTTCCATTCTAATAGGGGGCGGGAAGGATAGATGGTATGTTTGTATGTGTGTGTCTGTGTGGTATGAATCCACAAACATATGTAAAATGGATAATGGGCCATTTTGGTAATGAAGCCCTTTTTCTACTTACCCAGAGTCAGATAATGTCTCTGTGTGCAGTTTGAATGTAGTTTCTGAGCCATTGCTAAATTATTGTCTCAAGGAAAAACTAGCTAGCTCCTCTCAAAAGAAGGGAAAAAACCTTCTAACTACTCTAAAGGTTGGTCATTTCTAGTCTTTCAAAGCTGCTATCAAGTAGTTGCCAAAATGTTGCACTATCCCTTTAAGTAAAGATTTTGTTTATTAAAGTATGGTTAAATCTTTCTTCTAATCTACATTGTAAAAGTATGAAATTATTGTATAAAGTATAGTAAAATAATGTCAAATGAAGTCAATGTTTGCAAATGCTTGTGTAAAATGCTTGTGTATAGGCTCTATTTTGCTCACCCCAAACAGCACTGAGCTGTGCAAAAACATTGTACATTGTACACTGCAGTGCAATTTTTATTTAAAAAAATCCCACTTTTCTTTAACTATGTCTTTGAGAAATAAGAATTTCAGTAAATGGTGTGAAAATGCATTACACACAATTCAATCAATGTTTACTAGATGTGGAACACCCTTTGGATACTGTGCCATCTATTTCTACGGTTCTATTCAAAATGTTAAAGGTCCAATGAAGACATTTTTATCTCAATAGAAAAGCATTTCTGGGGAAGAATTAAGTACTTTACTGTGATTATTTTAGATTAAAATTGTCAAAAATAAACAAAAATAGCTTCTTAGCTAAGAGCAATTCTCAAGCAGGAATTTTGCTAGGACTGTCTGGGAGTTGTCTGAGTGGGAAGGGAAAACTGAAAATGTTTTAGAAAGGTTTGGAACTCTCTTTCTTATTGGTCTATTAACTAATTTACCGCATGGTGATGACACCATGGAAGGTCAAAACTCTGTCCTAAAAAAGGCTGAAATTTCAGGCGGTCTTTTCAAACATCTTTTACACTAAACGGGCATTATCATCATTTTCACAATTTCACAGTATTATTCCAACCTCATAGTGTAGAAATATATATAAAACACAGTAAAAAATGTTTTGACTGCACTGGGCCTTTAAGATAATTTGTGCCATTCTGTATTTTCCAAATGTTATGGTTATTTCTCTCAGTCTGTGTTTTTTAACATGAGCAAAATGGAGCCTAATGTGCAAAGTATAGTACCTGACTGTATATCCTGGTGTTGCCAACCTGATTTAACCTTTCGTTTGCCAGACAGCACAGTTTAATGTGGAACATTTCTCAGGGATGCACAACTGGTATGCCTGCTCCCACGCACGCCCCACCTTCTGTAACGTCTGTAGAGACAGCCTCTCTGGCGTCACCTCCCACGGCCTGTCCTGCGAAGGTAAGACGCACCCACACACACGCGCGCGCACATTTCTGTTTTATCTTTGCTAACACCTCTCCTCCTGACCTATCTGTCCATCCCTCCTCCAACGTCTCTCCATCTCCTCATTAATGGACCAGCGAGAAGCATGCCACTGCTCTGTGTTTGCCTTAGTGCTGTGTGTCCCTCCTGGGCTGTGGTAGTTTTAATCAGTCCTGGAGAGGTGGAGGAGAGTGGAGATATAGGACTGGGGCTGTACAATGGGGAATAGGACTTACTTACTTATTCCTCTTCCCTCCCTGTGGAGTATAAAGTCGCAACAAGCCCACCATCCAGGGAATAGGTCTATAAGCTCATAGTAGGGCAGCGCTGGGGGCGGTTCAATTTAAGTATCCATTCAATACTATGCTATGATTTCCCTCCGGATCGATTAAGAATAGTAGGGCAGAGCTGTGCAGGAGCTGAATGATAGGAGATTGGTGTATTAGCTAGAGCGGTAAGGTGTGGGTTGAGAAGAGCGTGCGATTTGTCCTAGACGTTGTAGTGTCCTCTTTGCTGGCTAGCCTACTGTGAGAGGCTAATGATAACCCATTAATTGCTCTGAAATGAAGGGCTTCCTCCTTGAAGCATCCTCAAAGGCTATTATGGGTGTGTGTGTGTGTGTGTGTGTGTGTGTGTGTGTGTGTGTGTGTGTGTGTGTGTGTGTGTGTGTGTGTGTGTGTGTGTGTGTGTGTGGTGTGTTGTGTGTGTTTGCCTGGATCATAGACTACTCCATACACATAACCCTAGCATATTTTCTATCTCTCCCATCTCCAGTCTTCTACATTATACATCCTTTATAGTTCGAGATGATAAAAATGTGGAAGGTTAGACTAATCACACACAAACACGCACACTCACACTTTCTCACACACACTCACACACACACAACATACACACACTTGCAGATGATGTGAAGCGCTATAGGCTAATTAGCATTATAATATTCATATGGTGTTCATTATGGTTGTCTGACTCACAGGCTCCTTATATGAAACCAGGAAGTGGTGTATAAATAGTACTGGTATATAAATGGTTGGTTACGCTGTTCCTTCACAGCTTAGGTGTGGATAGATGGAGCAGTCTAAAACAGAGCCGAATGGAACACTAGCAGTTGCGTCATTCCCACTCTTTTCTATTAAAACAGTTAGGTATGAATCATATATATATATATATATATATATATATATATATATATATATAACCTTTATTTTACCAGGCAGGTCAATTAAATAAATTGGTCATTTAGCAGACGCTCTTATCCAGAGCGATTAAGAGCATTAGGGTTAAGTGCCTTGCTCAAGGGCACATCGACAGATTTTTCACCTAGTCGGCTTGGGGATTAGAACCAGCGACCTTTCGGTTACTGGTACAACGCTCTTAACCACTAAGCTACCTGCCGCCCTATACAAATTATTATTTACAATGACAGCCTGGCAAAAGGCCTCCTGTGGGGCAAGGGGCGGGGATTAAAAGTGAAAGACAAGATGGACAACATAGACAAAACACACTTGGCAACAGCACAGATACATCATTTTACATTGACATTTTAGTCATTTAGCAGATACTCTTATCCAGAGCGACTTACAGGAGCAATTAGGGTTAAGTGCCTTTCGGTTACTGGCCCAACGTTCTTAACCGCTAGGCTACCTCAGACAGAAACAAAGCACATGAAGACAAGATACACCACCATGCTACATGAAGAGAGACCTATGGCAACAACACAACATGTCACAAGCTTTAATAAGGGCAGACAACAGCACAAGGGATATTTAATCTGTTAGGGAGAAAAACATATTGAGTCATAATATTCAGAGGCTGTGTGTGGCCGTCAGACAGTCTAATTTATTTTACCATTTTTGTCATTTAGCAGACGCTCTTATCCTTAGTGAGTGCATACATATTTTATTTTTTTACAAAAATCATACTGGTACCCCGTGGGAAACGAACCCACAACCCTGGCGTTGCAAACGCCATGCTCTACCAACTGAGCTACACGGGACTAATAAACGATGTCTCTCTCTCCCTCTCCGCCTCAGTCCTTGATTAGAGGGTTAGGATCCTAAATGGAACTGGCTTCCAGGTCCAGATTTGAATTTGCCTTGTCTAGGGTATCGGATCATTAGCTTCTTCTGATTCATTCTGATTGCATTGTTGTGGCTTCATGAAAGAATGACTGCTACATGGCTCACGAGTAGCATCTCGCTTTTGTAGAGAACATTACTTTTTGGGACATTGGACCATGTGCTGATCTCTATCTTTCAACTGATAATACAACACCTACTGTAGACACAGCTTGATGTGTGTGTGTGTGAGTGAAAGTGAGTAGTGATGAGTGAGTGAGTGAGTGAGTGAGTGGAGTGCGGGAGTGAGTGAGGAGTTATTGAGAGAGAGAGAGAGAGAGAGCGACGCGAGAAAGAGCAGCTGAGGAGAGAGAGAGAAGAGAGTTCGAGAAGAGCGATCTGAAGAGAGGTAGGAGTCGACGATCGATCTCTCTCGCGCTCGCGCAGTCATCCTCTCGAGGGCGAATCTCGAGAGCCGATGCGCTTTCTCCGTGAGAGAGAGAGAGAGAGAGATTCTTAAGTGGTGAGAACAGCTAGACCGACAGTTTCACAGCAATCAGAGCTACTTATGTTTTACTTCGATTTCCTGCACAGGACGATCGATAGGAATTGATGTATGTGTCACACACACACCTCCCCAACCATCCTCTGGCTACAAACAGTCCGAAACCAGGAAAATGATCTCTCTCAAAACAAACATCTCATATCCGTCTGCAATCAATGTTTCTCTAATCTAACTCTAAATGCATTTAGTAGAACATTTAGTAACATTAAGAGAACACAATGTTTATCACAGTCTGCCAATGGCAAGGAGTGACACTGGCCAATTAGTCTTGGTGTCTCGGTGTGCGTGTTTGTGTGTCCACACGTGTCTGCATGTGTGCATGTGTTCGCATCTGCAGGTTGTTTCGACAGTGGAACTTTCCAAGTCCAGTAATTTTATGGTTGGCTGTTAAGTGCCTCCTCATCTATAATTGTTATACACTGAACAAAAATATAAGTGCAACATGCAACATTTTTTTTTGATTTTACTGAGTTACAGTTCAGACAAGGAAATCAGTCAATTGAAATAAATGTATTAGGCCCTAATCTATGGATTTCACATGACTGGGATTACAGATATGAATATGGTTGGTCACAGATACCTTGAAAAAAAAGGGCGTGGATCAGAAAACCAGTCAGTATCTGGTGTGACCACCATATGTCTCATGCAGCGCGACACATCTCCTTCACATAGAGTTGATCAGGCTGTTGATTGTGGCCTGTGGAATGTTGTCCCACTCCTCTTCAATGGCTGTGTGAAGTTGCTGGATATTGGCGGGAACTGAAACACACTGTCGTACACATCGATCCAGAGCATCCCAAACATGCTGAATGGGTGACATGTCTGGTGAGTATGCAGGTCATGGAATAACTGGGACATTTTCAGCTTCCATGAATTATGTATAGATCCTTATGACATGGGGCATTGCATTATCATGCTGAAACATGAGGTGATGGCGGCGGATGAATGGCACGACAATGGGCCTCAGGATCTTGTCACGGTATCTCTGTGCGTTCAAATTGCCATCGATAAAATGCAGTTGTGTTTGTTGTCCGTAGCTTATGCCTGCCTGCCTGCCTGCCTGCCCATACCATAACCCCACCGCCACCATGGGGCACTCTGTTCACAATGTTGACATCAGCAAATCACTCGCCCACACAACGCCATCTGCCCGGTACAGTTGAAACCGGGATTCATCCGTGAAGAGCGCACTTCTCCAGCGTGCCAGTGGCCATCAAAGGTGAGCATTTGCCCACTGAAGTCGGTTACGATGCCGAACTGCATTCAGGTCAAGACCATGGTGAGGACGACGAGCACGTAGATGAGCTTCCCTGAGACGGTTTCTGAAATTCTTCGTTTGTGCAAACCCACAGTTTCATCAGTTGTCCAGGTGGCTCATCTCAGACCATCCAGGTGAAGAAGCCGGATGTGGAGGTCCTGGGTTTGGTGTGGTTACACGTGGTCTGCGGTTGTGAGGCCGGTTGTACGTACTGACAAAATCTCTAAAACAATGCTGGAGGCAGCTTATGGTAGAGAAATGAACATTCAATTCTCTGGCAACAGCTCTGGTGGACTTTCCTGAAGTCAGTAAGCCAATTGCACGCTCCCTCAAAACTTTAGATATCTGTGGCATTGTGTTGTGTGAATGGCCTTTTATTGTCCCCAGCACAAGGTGCACCTGTGTAATGATCATGCTGTTTAATCAGCTTCTTGATATTCCACACCTGTCAGGTGGATGGATTATCTTGGCAAAGGGAAAATGCTCACTAAAAGGGATGTAAACAAATTTGTGCACAAAATTGGAGAGAAATAAGCTTTTTGTCATATGGAGCATTTCTAGGATATTTTATGTCAGCTCATGAAACGTGGGACCAACACTTTACATGTTGTGTTTATATTTTTGTTCAGCATACATTATGGGCCTTCTCCACTAACTGTGGTGGCGAGATATAAAATATTCAGTTTACATTTAGCAGACTGCCCTTATGCAAAGCCACTCACAATAAGTACATTCAAAGACTATACAATAAGTGCCTTACAGGCCGGCCCTCATTTATAGACTGTATACAGTGCATTCGGAAAGTATTCAGACATCTTGACTTTTTCCACATTTTGTTATGTTACAGCCTTATTCTAAAATGGATTAAATTGGTTTTTTCCTTCATCAATCTACACACAATCCCCCAAAAACATGTTTTTAGAAATTGTTGCAAATGTATAATAATTTAAAAAAATGAAATATCACATTTACATAAATATTCAGACCCTTAACTCAGTACTTTGTTGAAGCACCTTTGGCAGCGATTACAGCCACAAATCTTCTTGGGTATGACGCTACAAGCTTGGCACACCTGTATTTGGGGAGTTTCTCCCATTTTTCTCTGCAGATCCTCTCAAGCTCTGTCAGTTTGAATGGGGAGCGTCCAATTTTTTATACATTTGCTAAAATTTCTACAGACCTGTTTTCGCTTTGTTATTGTGGGGTATTGTGTGTAGATTGATGATGGAAAAAAATATTTAATCAATTTTAGAATTAAGGCTGTAACGTAACAAAATGTGAAAAAAGTTGAGGGGTCTGAATACTTTCCGAATGCACTGTATATGAATAGATGTATAGTATTGTGGTGGCAGAATTTGGAGTTTTCCACAACCGTATGTTACATAGTCCCTCTCTTACTTAGGTTCCTCTCATGCATACAGAATTGGGTTTTACAGTTCATATTGTTTTGAGTAGGCTCGTGACAGGGATACAGACGGTATATTCCATGCCTCTGACACTTGCGTTCTCTGTGATGTGAGTGGTGATGTAATGCAGTGGTTCCTAAAACGTGCGTTATTTTGGTGTGTGGTAACAATAGGTACTCTCTGGTACTTTTAATAAACTAATTCAACACAATTGTCCCAAATTATGCCTATACTTGTCAAAACCCTTAAAAAATACCTTCATAGGCTATTACTGTATAATTACCATTATAAACTGGGTGGTTCGAGCCCTGAATGCTGATTGGCTGACAGCCGTGGTATATCAGACAGTATACAACGCGTATGAAAAAATATTTATTTTTACAGCTCTAATTATGTTGGTAACCAGTTTATAATAGCAATAAGGCACCTCAGGGGTTTTTGGTATATGGCCAATATACCACGGCTAAGGGCTGTGTCCAGGCATTCTGCGTTGCGTCATGCATAAGAACAGCCCTTAGCTGTGGTATTTTGGCCATATACCACACCCCCTCGGGCCTTATTGCTTAATGTTACCTCATAAAAATCGGGCAATTTCAGTAGGGTAAAACTACCCTGATACTGAAAGGTCGCTGGTTCGAATACCCGAGCAGCAATGGTGAAAAATCTATCGATGTGCCCTTGAGCAAAGCACCTAACCCCAATTTGCTCCATGGGCACCTTCCTACTATGGCTGACCCTGTAAAACATTGCACTGCACTTATCCGGTCGGTGTATGTGACAATAAAACATCTATCAGTGTCAGTGTGTGAGCCTGCTGGTGTTGCCAGGGTGATTATAGCTATGGCTTTAATACTGTAATCCTCTAGGACATTAGAGGGCTATAGGCATATGGAGCTGTATGTAAAGGCTCACACGCAAGCACACAGGCACAGAGGGCTGGTGCTAGAATTAAGTGGATTAGCTCTGGTCCTCTGTCTGTTAAACACACAGGCAGATATGGCAAAATGACAGAGAGCGCTAGCTTAGGATGGGGCTCAGTCACTGGACAGTCACTGCCCTCGTTGCGCATTTAGACACACACTCGTCAGGCAGGGTTAGAACTGGGGACTGAAGCACATTTTCTTGTTGATTTTTGGTGTGTTTGTGTGTGGGTGTATTTGGTTTGTAGCCCACCTATCACCAAACACCTCTCCTCTGTCTGTTTATTTATCCTCTCTCACTGTAGTGTTGAACATGATGCTCTGTGTTGTTGTTGTTGACCAGACTAATGAGGTGTGTTTGTTGTTTGCGTTTGTTTTCCAGTGTGTAAATTCAAAGCTCACAAGCGGTGTGCCGTCAGGGCCACTAACAACTGCAAATGGACCACACTGGCCTCCATAGGGAAAGACATTATCGAAGACGAGGATGGGGTGAGTGTGTGTGTGTGTGCGTGTGTGTATTCATCTGTGTGTGTGTGTGTACGTATGCATGTGTGTATCCTTGTGTACATACTTGTGTGTGTGTATCTGTGTGTACATGCTTGTGTGCAGCAACAGATGGCGTGAAAAGGTAGAAAATATAATAATATATTGATATACCTGATAAACTGACTGACTCTCGATTCCTGTCCTGTAGATTGCCATGCCCCACCAGTGGCTGGAGGGGAATCTGCCTGTTAGTGCCAAGTGTGCCGTGTGTGACAAGACGTGTGGCAGCGTGCTCCGGCTGCAGGACTGGCGCTGCCTCTGGTGCAAGGCCATGGTGAGTGTGTGCGTGTGGAGTGTGTGTCTGTGTGTATGGTGTGTGTGTGTGTGTGTGTGTTGTAACACTGACTCTGTGTTTTTCCAGGTACACACAGCTTGTATGGACCTGTACCCCAGGAAATGTCCCCTGGGCCAGTGTAAAGTCTCCATCATCCCTCCTACTGCTCTCAACAGCATCGACTCTGATGGTACACACACACACACACACACACACACACACACACACACACACACACACACACACACACACACACACACACACACTTCATTACTTCATTCATTATTATTACAATGACTGGAACAAATTGCAAAAATCTCTGAAGCTGGAGACTCTTATCTCCCTCACTAACTTTAAGCATCAGTTGTCAGAGCACCTTACTGATCACTGCACCTGTACACAGCCCATCTGAAATTAGCCCACCCAACTACCTCATCCCTATATTGTTATTTATTTAGCTCATTTGCACCCCAGTATCTCTATTTGCACATAATCTCTTGCACATCTATCATTCCAGTGTTAATACTAATTATAATTATTTTGCACTATAGCCTATTTATTGCCTTACCTCCATAACTTGCTACATTTGCACACACTGTGTATATATTTTCTGTTGTATTTTTTGACTTTATGTTTTGTTTTACCCCATATGTAACTCTGTGTTGTTGTTTTTATCGCACTGCTTTGCTTTATCTTGGCCAGGTTGCAGTTGTAAATGAGAACTTGTTCTCAACTGGCTTACCTGGTTAAATAAAGGTAAAAAATAAAATAAAAAAAAGACATTTCCTACGGGCCATATTGCATTACACACCTTCTTGGAAAGGCTTACAGGATAGTATAGTCACATGGGATGTCTCTACACCCAAATGGAGAATGAGAGTTCTCAATGACAATCTTTTGTCTTCAGTAAAACACTTATTACTGACCGGTGGAAATTGGAGTGATTTGCAGTGCAGATGAATGTTATAAAGGAGGATTCACCTCATTGGCTTTGCTAATTTCCTCTCAGATTGACCTCTGACCTTTTATCATGTCACAGAGGAGGGGGGATGATTAAAAGAGAGAGGAATGAATCATCCTCCAGACATTCACACACACACACACACACACACACACACACACACACACACACACACAAACACACAAACACATACACATCCCAGCGTTGTATTCATTAGGACACATAATGGAAATAATTGTTTAACGTTTTGCTAAGGAAATTAGCATTTCTAATAGGAAATGTCCAGGTAGTCCCTTCCTGTTTCAGTCCCCTTTCTTCCATTTGGTCCCTAATGAACACAACCCAGATTATGGTTGCTGTATAAAGCAGTATCATGTGATGGAAACTATGGAAGAGGAATGTAAATATTAGTGTTTTCACTCTAATAATATATCACCTTCTGGTGTGGAATTTATACACACTCTTGTTTGCTCCCACCAGTGTGTGTGTGTGTCAGGAAATTGTGTGTGGGTATTTTATTGACAGGTGTATAAAATAGCTATTTCAGGCAGGTGCACATACACACACACACAAACACAGAGTCGGGCTGAGGCCGTATTTACTAACTTGGAAAGGTGTGAAAAATCTCTACTCCCCCTCTATCTCTGTTCCCGCCCCTCTCTCTCCCTCTATCTCTGTTCCCGCCCCCCTCTCTCCCTCTATCTCTGTTCCCGCCCCCCTCTCTTCCCTCTATCTCTGTTCCCGCCCCTCTCTCTCCCCCTATCTCTGTTCCCACCCCTCTATCTCCCTCTATCTCTGTTCCCACCCCTCTATCTCTCCATATATCCCCATGTTTCCCTCCCTTCTCTCTCCATGTATTCCCCTCTCCCTCTTTTCCTCTCCTTTTCTTTCTTCCAAATATCTTCCTCCCCCTCTCTTCAATGTCTTCAACCCCTCCCCCCTTCACATGCCAGGATTTCCCCTCGCCCCAGTGCAGGCTTGAGAAGGCTCTAATCTAATTGGCTGCTGGCTGACTGTGGCATGTGCTGAAACGTTGTGACTTTCCTCCCCCTCTCCTCTCCCATCTCTGCTCCACCGCTGCCAAGATCAGAGAGAGAGAAGGTGGGAAAGAGAGAGAGAGAGGGATAGAAAGATGGAATGAGAAGAGAGGCAAAAGGAGAAGGGCAACATAATGATGGAGAGAGAAGAGAGGCAAAGAGATGTGGAGGATGGAGAGAGCAAAGGACAAAGAGATGTGGAGGATGGAGAGAGCAAAGGACAAAGAGATGTGGAGGATGGAGAGAGCAAAGGACAAAGAGAGGGGGATAGAGAGAGGGAGAAAGGAATGACAGAAAGAAAGAGAGAGAAGGAAGAGAGAATGAGAGTGTTGATGGCAGCACCCCTAGGGACTGTCACCATCCTCCCCCGCGCAAACACACATACACACACACACACACACATACACACACACACTCACGCACTCAAACTTAGAGCCTTTTCACACAGAGAAATGTTGACACACAGGCGGCGTATCAATCTGCCATATGATGAATCCTATAAGCGCACAGGCTTGTTGTCCACAGTGTGTCTCCTGCTTAGAATGTGTGCTAATACCGCCCATGCCACACACAAGTGCACAGCCTAACTCAGTACTGTGATGCCCCCACACATACACACACTTTGATGCCTCAATGATGTTGCTGTGTGTGGGTGTTATGATACAGTAGTTAATGGGTGATCCAGTACAGCACATAGCAGAATCTCTCCTTTCTTTTCATTTCTCACATCTCTTCCATTAGTCACTGTGACACGGCTCAGAGTCTGGATACTGTTAGTGTTAATAAATCTTGGCTTAACCAGTGGATTTGATAGTGATAGTGATAAACAATGTGATACATGTGATAGAGATGAACAGTTATACATGTAATTGCTCCTGATGTCCTATCTACAGTGTATCACCATCTACAATAGTTCCATACTGTATATCAGATCACGTCTGCATTTATTAATTACATGTTTTATTAGTACTACAATGGGCTAGTACCCTTAATATTTTAGCACAGATTCATTCATCCATCCATCCATCCATTCAGTCATTAATTCCTTCATTCACTTTGTTATTAATTCATCCATTCATTCCTGTAATAACTGTTATTTTGTGTATTTGTGTTCAGGCTTCTGGAAGGCCACCTGTCCCCCATCATGCGCCAGTCCTCTGCTGGTCTTCGTCAACTCCAAGAGCGGAGACAACCAAGGGGTTAAATTCCTACGACGTTTCAAGCAGCTCCTCAACCCTGCTCAGGTGTTTGACCTGGTCAATGGCGGACCACATCTAGGGTGAGTCGGCTTGGCTAGCACCTGCTAATGGAAACCATGTGGCATCGCTAGTAAAAAAAAGTATTCCCACGCATAATAAAGAGACACATCTGATTGTATACAAATGTAAGCTAGTTTTGAAATGATTATGTTTTAGTTAAATATTATATCCGTTTGGGCTTCTTGCGGTCAATTTGCAGTCTACAAATGATTTGTAATTTTGTTCCAGCCTGATTCACTGACTGAACAGCTTGTCAAAGAGATCGCATTTATTTTGGGAGATCGTTAAATATAACTTCTACATTCAATACAGGAGATACAAATTGATTCAGAAGATAATAAAACACATTTATTTTAGTTACTTTTTTCTCAACTTGTTTCTATTACTTTCTAGCACGTCAAGTTAACTTACAGAGAAGGTAGCTAGCTAGCTTTGTAGCCATGGAGTGTAGCACCTTACATTGTTTAGCTAAGTTACCTAGCTAGCTGGTGAACGTTTTCCTTTTGAAACCAGGGCCAGAGGAAATCAACATTCACCTCCATATGGGCATCTGACTTTGTCTGAAAGTGGGGGTACAAAAAAGGTGTCTTATCTTTTTTTGGCACTGTTGTTTGAAGCACTGTCACCATTAAAATGTATAAACATGTACTTGTCTCAGCAGCATACATATTTGATGCAAAGAGGGTCAAAATTGCTTATTTGGTCGATATTACTTACCAAGCCAAGCAGACCGAGCCGGCGCCATGATAAAGTGACTATAGGGGCAGTTTAAATCGGTGAGGGGGCACACTTTTTTGGGGTTCTTGCAATGGAATTATATTGAATTCTGCTTATGTCACACTATACCACAATAAACATACGTTTCAAATGCCGAGACTCCAAGACCATTCAGTGCTTTTGAAGTATCAGCACAATGGACAGCGCCCTACTCACTAAAGGTCATTTTGGCAATGAATATAGGCTACAAGATAGATAGGGTAATTAACCTATGCAAACAACCTATGTGAATGCAGCCATACACACAGCTGTCTTACCGAAATAATGCAAATTAAATGCTGAAAGTAGTAGCCTAGTTATTCATGCAAAACAAAAATACTGAATAGCAATTTTGCTTAGAATACCGACAAAACTAGTCTAAATATAGATTGAGGTACATTAATGCGAACTAATTAATGTGAACAGAACAAAACAGCGGTAGGCCTACTATAGGCCTATAAACAAAATATCAGATAGATGAAGGCATGACACAATCTGTATTTAGGCTAGTTACATTAACAGTAAACAAACACAGTAAACAAAAGGTGAATGCAAATAGCCTAAATAGCCTGCAGCCTACTACAGTGAGATGCAGCCATGCACAGCTGTCTTGCCAAATAAAAAAGCCTACTGGCTCGCTTCAAACATGGAAAATCATGCAGCTCATGAGTTCATCAACACGTTGCGATATGGCACAATCCACTTCTGTGGATCAAATTCGTCCCACCTACGTAATCAATTAAGCAATGCCGGCCTACCATAAACACGTTTCCAATACGCACAGTTCCATTTACAACCACGAAAAGCAATAGGCTACCAAGAAAACCATAGAAATAGAATGTAGTCTTATCTATTTCTATGATTAAACATATCGATATGTAGCTATACCCAGGGGGGTCATTTGGGTTCTTGTATTGGAATTATATTGAATTCTGCTTATATCACACTATACCACAATACACATAAGTGCTGAGACCATTGAGTGCTTTTGACCAAGAAGTGACAGGTTGGTGCGAAATCTCCGTTGTGCTCTATCAGCACCATGGACACCACCCTACACACTAAGCAAGGCCATTATGGCAATTAATCTCCCGAGTGGCGCAGTGGTCTAAGGCAGTGCTAGCTGTGCCGCTAGAGATCCTGGTTCGAATCCAGGCTCTGTCGTAGCCGGCCGCGACCGGGAGACCCATGGGGCCGCGCACAATTGGCCCAGCGTCGTCCAGGGTAGGGGAGGGAATGGCCGGCAGGGATGTAGCTCAGTTGGTAGAGCATGGCGTTTGCAACACCAGGGTTGTGGGTTTGATTCCCACGGGGGGCCTGTATGAAAAATAATGTATGCACTCACTAACTGTAAGTCGCTCTGGATAAAAAAAATATATATATAGAAAAATAGGCTGGCTAAAGAAGTCATTTTGCCATTCCATACACGTTTTTTGCTGAAAATGGCACCATTGGCTATACCACCAAGATTTTTTTTATCAAAATCAACAAGCTAGATTTTTCTTACCTTTTCAGAAGAGCTGCAGCCTCCTTGATGCTCTGTTGAACTTCCTGAGTAATCGATCATTCCATTGTCCCAGAAATCTTCTTGTAAGATCCCCCTCAAATACCAGTTGGATTAGTTGAGTTTTCCTTGGGTGTAGCATGCTTCATGTGTCCTGACTGAACACGTTTGTCAAAGTGGAAAATGAGTTCTTGCCAGTTGCCTATCATTAACAAGTGTTGACACTTCAAAATGCGTGCCTAGCGAATCCTTTGGTTCTATCCATAGCGGATATAGTAACCATAGTTACAATACCACCCTTGGGTGAAGGCCTTGTCTGCGTTAGCTTTGGACCCAATACAGAACTTTCAACAGGGGAACCAAAATGCAACATCTGCAGTAACTGAGTATTCCAGCCACTCTCTTCCTATGAACCAGTTGCAATTAAATGAACATTTTTGGACAGAAAACCTGCGGCTAGGGTAAGATTCTAGGCTAACCTGGGCTAACTCCTTTGTTCCAAGATCGTCAGGAGCAGTCGGAGGGGGCTGTGGAGCCATTATCCTGGCGGCACTTGTGGAAGGGGGTTGGTAAACTCTTCACGCGGAGCTAGCTGGAGCTCGGCAGTATCATCGCTGCTGGGCTTTGCGGCGGCATCGGTGGTTTAATTTCTGATATCCATCGTGGCAGTGGCAGATTATCTGGTTAGAGCTAAATAGGCTAATAACACTAACGCCTTTTACAGCCAGCCAAGAAGCTAACTAAACTCGGTATTGGTGGGGCGTGAGGCAGAGTTGAGTGAAGCAGCTTCAACGGTAAACTACACCGAGCGGGCTTGTCCTTATAAATCTAAATCAAATATTACAGGTGGAGGCGTATCACGTTATTCACTTAGCCTAGCACAGAGATGAGTAGCGTTTTCCCCCCGCTTTTTATGGAAACCCAAAGGAGTCATACCTAGCCACCCAGTGGCTTTCCATAGCCCCTCTACACACAAACACACACACACTCTACGGCACTCTGTCCATGGTGCTGATACAGCACTGTGGAGATACAGATTTTGTGCCCACATCTCTCTCAATCATTTGAACTCTTTCGCCATTTTTATATAGGGACATAAAACTAAAACAGAGGTGGCACAATTTTCAACTGAGGGTGCTAAGCCCCCTTTTTCCCCCTTGTGGAGTCGGGCCCCCAAGCAGTGCTGTTTTATGGAGATACAAATATCCTGTGCTTTTTCATTTGGTGCATAGGCGCATACAGACACAGCTTGGCTACATTGCCGCGAAGCGTCCTTGGTGCGCTCGCATGTATGGCTCAGCCAGGACTGTTACCTTTGTAACTGAATGAAAACATAACTATGTGATTTAACTGATTGAAGTTGGGAAAATTGATGGCAAAAATGCAGAATTGTGTTAAATGCCTGTAAACAGCTTGGGGAGGAAATTTTTTTCACAGATTTAATCATGTAATATTAGGCCTACAGATTATTTCTCACTATCTACAGTACTTGCAAGCTACTCATTGACAGCCCATGAGCTATCGTGCATGCAGTTTTCTCTTAAAGTGCAACCTTTGGTAGGCTGATAGAAGGCTACTCAGAGTCAGAGTCTACGATACAGCGAAGCCAAATCAGACATGCCGGTGCTCGTCATGGTTCTTACAGGCAAAGTGAAATGATATAATGAATTTGCTCGTGGTGCACGCAGCTCAAATGATATGTAACAACACCATTGGACCAACACCATCGGACATGAAACAACGATACCAATGTAACAACAGCACAACAAAATAGATAAACCATTTTCTTTTGCAGGGCCTTTTCATTTTAAACATCAGTGGTGCAACTAGTGCTTTCTAACTGCACTGAACCAAAACAATGCTTGCCGAGTGAAGCAAAACGTTCCAGTGGTCAAAACCATTAATCTTGAGGCGACAGGGGAGGGGATGCTAAATGCAATCTGTTAATTATTATATCATATATAAAATGGACGTATCTATTTTAATACAGACTAGATCAAAACATTACTAATCATTGAAATATACAAATTACCCAATGGATCATGATCATTTTCTGGTAAAAAAGTGTATTTTGTAAGTGGGGGTGCAGCTGCTCCGTTTGCTCCATTGCTCAGGCGCCAATGCCTCCACAAATGCTGTTGACATTGACATCCATACTGAATGAGCACTTAAGGGACCTAATGGGAACCCTTAACCTTTCCGCTTAGTTTAAGGGGGAAGTTCGCCTTCAAATATTTTGTGCAACTGACTTAAAGTTAAGGAAATGTAAGGGAAAAGATAAGAGGGAATTACCATAAGATGTTTTATGCAACCTGGCCCAGGTCCTCCTGGAGGGGAGACATAGACAGACAGAGAGAGAGAGAAGGGAATTAGAGGGAGCATGCCTAAGATCACACAGTACACCAGATAAGACAGACTGACCCTAGTACCCCGGCACATGCAGCATAGATACTGGGTACTGAGACAGGGTGGTTGGTGCCCTGATCAGGGACAGAAGCTATACTGTTACAAGACTCTGACACTAGTACCATTCCTTTGTGTGCTCCAGGCTGCGTCTCTTTCAGAAGTTTGATAACTTCCGGATCCTGGTGTGTGGAGGGGATGGGAGTGTAGGCTGGGTCCTCTCTGAGATAGACAAACTCAACCTCCACAAACAGGTAAGAACCCCCCCCCCCACACACACACACACACACACACGCTGACCCCCACCCTTCCCGCCTCACACACACAACCACCCCCACACCCCCTCGCTGTCCCCCACACACACACTTACTCCCCCCCCCCCCCCCCCTTCTCTCTTTCTGTCTCCAGTGCCAGCTGGGAGTGCTGCCCTTGGGCACAGGAAACGACCTGGCGCGGGTGCTGGGCTGGGGCCCATCGTGTGACGATGACACGCAGCTTCCCCAGATTCTGGAGAAACTGGAGCGGGCCAGCACCAAGATGTTGGACCGCTGGAGCATCATGACCTACGAGATAAAGCTCCCCTCCAAACACAGCGGGCCCGTCACGCCCGACGACACTGACGACGGCCAGGTACACAACATCTGAAGCATTACGATTTGGAGGTGTTTTATAATGTAAACAGTATCCCCCTTGCTTAGTTTTATGGTAATTCTGCCTTTCTGCTCTCTCTGTGTCCCCAGTTCCAGATCTCAGCATATGAAGACTCGGTAACTGCCCATCTCACCAAGATCCTCAACTCTGACCAACACTCTGTGGTCATCTCCTCCGCTAAGTGAGTGTCTCATCTCAACACTGCTTACTGCTAAATGGCTGCTGACAATTTCATTTAATGTGAACTCACGCTCTTCTTTCACCCCCCGTTTCTCTCTCTCTCTCTCGTTCTCTCTCTCTACTTTCAGGATTCTGTGTGAGACAGTAAAGGACTTTGTTGCCAAAGTGGGAAAGTCCTACGAGAAAAGCATTGAGAATACTGAGGAGTGTGACACTATGTCTCTCAAAGTAAGTAACCCTCCACACACACATGCACCCACATGCACACACATGCACGCACACACACACACACACACACTAACCTAACTCTCCTTTTCCCAACAGTGTGTCATCCTAAATGAGAAGCTCGACTCACTCCTCCAGACCCTCAACACAGAAGCCCAGTCACTCCCCCCACCTCTTCCCCTTTCCACACCACCCATCGTCGAAGAGGAGGAAGAGGAGGAAGATGAGGAGGAGGAGGAGGTGAGCGAGGAGTCGTTGACCGAGCTGAAGGAGAAACTGGAAGCAGAGGAGAGTGAAAAGGGAGGAGAGAAAGGAGGAGGTTCGCCACCCAAGCTGTTCAGAGCTAAAGAACAGCTGATGTTACGAGCCAACAGCCTGAAGAAGGCTGTACGACAGATCATTGAACAGGCCGAGAGAGGTACGTAGATATAGAACATAACAGATAATCGAACAGGCCGAGAGAGGTACGTAGATATAGAACATACGATCATCGAACAGGCCGAGAGAGGTACGTAGATATAGAACATAACAGATCATCGAACAGGCCGAGAGAGGTACGTAGAACATAATAGATCATCGAACAGGCCGAGAGAGGTACGTAGAGATAGAACATAACAGATAATCGAACAGGCCGAGAGAGGTACGTAGATATAGAACATAACAGATCATCGAACAGGCCGAGAGAGGTACGTAGATATAGAACATAACAGATAATCGAACAGGCCGAGAGAGGTACGTAGAACATAACAGATAATCGAACAGGCCGAGAGAGGTACGTAGATATAGAACATAACAGATCATCGAACAGGCCGAGAGAGGTACGTAGATATAGAACATAACAGATAATCGAACAGGCCGAGAGAGGTACGTAGAACATAACAGATAATCGAACAGGCCGAGAGAGGTACGTAGATATAGAACATAACAGATCATCGAACAGGCCGAGAGAGGTACGTAGAACATAACAGATCATCGAACAGGCCGAGAGAGGTACGTAGATATAGAACATAACAGATCATCGAACATGCCGAGAGAGGTACGTAGAACATAACAGATAATTGAATAGGCCGAGAGAGGTACGTAGATATAGAACATAACAGATAATCGAACAGGCCGAGAGAGGTACGTAGATATAGAACATAACAGATAATCGAACAGGCCGAGAGAGGTACGCAGATATAGAACATAACAGATCATCGAACAGGCCGAGAGAGGTACGTAGATATACAGTATGACAAAACAGATCAGACATACAATATAATAGAGCCTATGGCAAGTCTTTCATGCCTGTTTCAGAGAGAATACAATGGACTCCAGATTGTAAAACTATAAAAAGTATTGGTAATCACAGAGTAATCACGTAATACAAAGTTGTAGTGTCCAATTTCTCACCTTTCTCTCCCTCTCTTCTCATCCTCTCCCTCTCCTTCTCCCTTACCTTCTGGCACTGCCCCCTCCCTCTAGTGGTGGATGAGCAGAATGCCCACACAGAGGAGCAGGAGCTGCCGTCCCCGTTGGAGTTTAGGAAGGAAGGAGAGGAGGACAACAGGGACAGTGAGAAGGACGAGGACACCAAGGAACTGGAAACCTTGCCATGTAAGTTCTCTCTCTCTCTCTCTCTCTCTCTCTCTCTCTCTCTCTCTCTCTCTCTCTCTCTCTCTCTCTCTCTCTCTCTCTCTCTCTCTCTCTCTCTCTCTCTCTCTCTCTCTCTCTCTCTCTCTCTCTCTCTCTCTCTGCAGTTCAAGAAATAGAGTTAAGAAAATATTTGCTAAATAAACTAAAGTATAAAATAAAAGTAACACAATAAGATTACATAACAATAACTAGGCTATTTACAGGGGATACCGGTACCGAGTCAATGTGCGGGGGTACAGGTTAGTCGAGGTCATTTGTACATGTAGGTAGGGGTAATGTGAATATGCATAGATAATAAACAGCGAGTAGCAGCAAAGAAGTGTGCCCCCTCACCAATGTAAACTGCCCCTTTAGTCACTTTATCATCTTTAGGACATACTAGTAGATAGTGAATGTCTCAGTACTTACATTTCTGGTATCTCTCTGTCTCTCTCTCTCTCTCTCTCTCTCTCTCTCTCTCTCTCTCTCTCTCCCTGGTCTCTTTCTCCTTCCCTCTCTCTCTGGTCTCTCTCTGGTGTCTCTCTCTCTCTTTCTAGTGGCTAAGAGTCCATGTTCTCCTCCTGAGAGGCATGTAAGTCGCAGCAGCCAATCCTGTGGCTCGTTCTCCATCACGCCCTTCACCACCAGCAAGGAGAACCTGCCTGTACTCAACACACGCATCATCTGCCCTGGTACATCCTACGGTATATGCATGCATGTGCGCCGTGCACATACATGCACAAACACACTTCACATTAGAGGTCTTCACGGGTCCACCCAAACACAATTACCCGGGATCCGACCAGGAACCCGAGCGGGTCCAGATTCGGACAGAATTCGAAATTCTCACGTGTCCGGGTCGGATCTGATATGATCGTCACATAATTATAACCGATTTGCCCGTAAGGACCTGTAGAGACCCGAACGCGACTGCTGCAGTAGAAAGAGAGAATAAATGCTAGGCTATGATTTATGCTACTGCTCTTGAGTGGAGCGTGTAACTTGTTGTCGGCCAATCACAAGTCATCATCAAAGTGGCTCTACAGTCAGAAGGCCTCCATGTGTGGCAAGCAAGTTAGGAGATATCTAATCGATTTAAAAGTTACATGTGAGGATAGGCTACAACGACAAAAGCCAACAGGTAGGCTGCTACTTAATTTGAAGAGAGTTATTCACTTATTTGTAATTGTAGCTTAAATAGCTAGCTAGCTGCTGTACTTGGTTTAATGCAGTCAAGACAGGTACTATGTTATCAGTTGGGATGATAAATAATATCCTGTGGCAGCTAGAAGTTAGTAACTAGCGCTATTTGGCTTGGTTGCTGTCTCTCTCTCTCCCTCCTTGCCTGCCCTGGAAGCACCCCGCAACTCACTCACACACACCGCATAGCCCCTCCTCCACCCCCTGCAGAGCGTCTCCTTTTCTCTCCCTTGCGCAGCAACAGCTGAGGTTAATAATATAACTACAAAATTGCTTTTCTGACGATTCCCTCACATGGATCAGACCCGACCGGGTCCACACGGGGCCGGGTCTGGTTCTCCTTGGATCTGTTCGAACCTGGTCTCTATATGTAAAACATTTATTTATTCGGGTACATTCTAAGAAACTAAGGTGCTATCTACATTTGACATTTTAGTCATTTAGCAGATGCTCTTATCCAGAGCGACTTACAGTTAGTGCATACATATATATATTTTTTCATACTGGAATCGAACCCACAACCCTGGCGTTGCAAATGCCATGCTCTACCAACTACCCTGGACGACGCTGGGCCAATTGTGCGCCGCCCCATGGATCTCCCGGTCGCGGCCAGCTACGACAGAGCCTGGATCTAGAACCTTAAAGGGTTCTTCGGTTGTCCCCATATTAGAACCCTTTGAGGAACCCTTTTTGGTTGCAGGTAGAACCCTTTTGGGTTCCATGTAGAACCCAACTTTTTGGACCCGTGAAGACCTCTACTTCACATACACACTTAATCTGCCATAGTTTGCGCTCATGTGTATACACACATATGTATTGTCTGCCCTGATACATGTACACACACACACACACACACACACACACACACACACACAACACAACACAAACAACAAACAAACAAACAAACAAACAAACACACACATCTACCCTGATACAAGTGCACATACCACACACACACAGCACTCTGTAAGAACATCTCTGTTTCTCTGTATAGGTTTGCGTGCTGGTCTGGCAGCCTCTATAGCCGGTAGCTCCATCATCAGTAAAATGCTGCTGGCCAACATCGACCCATTTGGAGCTACACCCTTCCTGGACTCTGACCTGGACTCACTGTAAGACCCTCTGACCTTCATAAACCCTGACCAACTGGACTCGCTGTAAGACCTTCTGACCTCTAACCTCTACCCTTTAACATTCATAGACCCAGACCTCCTGGACTCACTGTAAGACCCTCAGACCTCTGACATCTAACCTTGAGGCTACCATAATCAGAATGTTTCCGACTTTACCCTTTTGGCGACCAGATCAAAACATTACGTTTTTACGTTTTCAGTTGAATTGTAGTTTTCTGAACTGCCCTGTGTCTCTATCTCCCACACAGAGAGGGCTTTAGTGAGAAGTGTGTCATGAACAACTACTTTGGCGTTGGGCTGGATGCTAAGATCACCTTGGAGTTCAACAACAAGAGGGAGGAACACCCAGAGAAGTGCCGGTGAGCTCTAGGTTTATTTCTCCTCTCTCATCCCTCTCTACTGTCCTCTCTACTGTACTCTCATCCCTCTCTACTGTCCTCTCTACTGTACTCTCATCCCTCTCCACTGTCCTCTCCTCTGTCCTCTCATCCCTCTCTACTGTCCTCTCATCCCTCTCTACTGTCCTCTCATCTGTCCTCTCATCCCTCTCCACTGTCCTCTCCTCTGTCCTCTCATCCCTCTCTACTGTCCTCTCATCCCTCTCAACTGTACTCTCATCCCTCTCTACTGTCCTCTCAACTGTCCTCTCATCCCTCTCTACTGTCCTCTCATCCTTCTCTACTGTCCTCTCATCCCTCTCTCACTGTACTCTACCATGCCCTCTCTACTGTCCTCTCTCCCTCTCACTGTCCCTCTCTACTGTCCTCTCATCCCTCTCTACTGTCCTCTCATCCCTCTCTACTGTCCTCTCATCCCTCTCTACTGCTACTCTCATCCCTCTCTACTGTCCTCTCATCCCTCTCTACTGTCCTCTCTTCTGTCCTCTCATCCCTCTCTACTGTCCTCTCATCCCTCTCTACTGTCCTCTATCCCTCTCTACTGTCACTCTCATCCCTCTCTACTGTCCTCTCAATCCCTCTCTACTGTCCTCTCGTCTTACTGTGCCTCACATCCCTCTCTTCATGTCCTCTCATCCCTCTCATACTGTCCTACCTCTTATCTCCATCTCTACTGTCCTCTCATCCCTCTCTACTGTACTCCTCTCTCTATCCTCCTCATCCCTCTTTTCTTCTCCGACTTTTGTGTTGCACCCCCTTTTCTCTCTCTCTACTCTCTCTCTCTCTCCCCCTCATCCCTCTCTCTCTCTCTCTCTCTCTCTCTCTCTCTCTCTCTCTCTCTCTAGGAGTCGTACTAAGAACAGGGTGTGGTATGGTGTTCTGGGCACCAAGGAGCTCCTCCAGAGAACCTACAAGAACCTAGAACAGAAGGTTCAACTGGAGGTGAGAGAATTAAAATTACCATAGAATTTTAATTACTAGAAGGTACATTCCCATTCAAATCAATGTTTAGTGGTGGATAGAATGGCGGCCATATTGGGTGTATCAAAGGGAATGATTACCAGTACATACCCCTGCCAGTCTGCAGCTTCTCCGTGTTGAAATAGAACCTAACTAACTCTTTGTGTGTGTTTCTTAGAACCTAACTAACTGTTTGTGTGTGTTTATGTGTGTGTGTGTGTGTGTGTGTGTGTGTTCCAGTGTGATGGTCAGTACATCCCCCTGCCCAGCCTTCAGGGCATTGCGGTGCTGAATATCCCCAGCTACGCTGGAGGAACCAACTTCTGGGGAGGCACCAAGGAGGACGACGTGAGTACTGTTCTGTATGTGTGTGTGTGAGTGTACTACTCGGCTTGGCTCAGTAGTGTGAAAAGTGTCTTAGTGTTTTCTTCTTGAGGATAATGTACGGGAGGCAAAATGAGAGTCATGCTTTTGGTATTTGCACGTGATAACCTGTTTACGCCACTAAGTGGCAGCTCAACCCTGTTGGAGAAGAGGCAAAGAGAATGATAACTTTTGGGTTACTGTTGTTCAGTAGGTGTGTTTCCTACTGGAGCTGATTTGGTCCTGTGACAAGTTTTAGATGTGTTTAAACCCTCTCCTCTCTCTCCCAGTGTCTGGGCCTGAGTAGGACCCCTGGTGAGAGAGGTGGCCATCTATCGGCCTGTTTGTTTAAGACTCAGAAAGTACAAGGGCTGTTGATAGATTGGAGTGTCGGTTTGCTACTCACGCGCAGACGCACACACACACCTCCCTGGTGGGGCCCCTAGTCCAGTGAGGTTACCTCTGTCTGTCTGTGACATGGTGTTGTTATGTAATGGCTGTGCTGGGGCAGAGGAAGCAGCTGGGAGAGAACATTCAGTGGAACTGATCCAACACACATGTCATCCTGAAAGTTTACTCTCTATCTCTAAACACACACACACACTTACAGTAAATTCACACGCACACACATACTTATTTCTTAGCCTGTGTTCAAACTATAAACCATCTACAGACCCGGTTGCATTGATGTGTTATTGTGAGTAGGGTTCCACCTAGTGGAATTAGTCTGAACTACAATACAATAGGTCACAACATCTCTCTCTTTGAGCCTTTGATGCGCAGCAAGCTAAATAGTACAGATCTGCATTAAAGTGGCATTTCTGAGTGGATCAGAGAAATTGTGTAGTAGAATGATGTCTAATTCATCATTACCTTGACCTTATCATGGACAATGTGGACAGAGAAATCAATATCAAGTCAGAGAGACCTTTCACTCCAGACAGTCTTTCAATCTAAATTCTAACCCCTCGTTTTCACTAGATTATTTGGAGTTGAAGGAATTGTCAGAAGACATTCATTTTCAATGAAGGGAGATCAATGATGGTGATGGTGATGATGACGATGGTGGTGATTGTGATAATGATCAAATCAATTGTATTTGTCAAATGCGCCGAATACAACAGGTGTAGACCTTACCGTGAAATGCTTACTTACAAGCCCTTAACCAACAATGCAGTTCAAGAAATAGAGTTAAGAAAATATTTACTAAATAAACTAAAGTAAAAAATAAAATAAAAAGTAACACAATAAAATAATAATAACAAGGCTATATACAGGGGGTACCGGTACTGAGTCAATGTGCGGGGGTAAAGGTTAGTCAAGGTAATTTGTACATGTAGGTGGGGGTAAAGTGGCTATGCATAGATAATAAACAGCGAGTAGCAGCAGTGTAAAAACACAGGGGGGGGGGGGGTAGTTGTCAACGTAAATAGTCCGGGCGGCCATTTGATTAATTGTTAAGCAGTGTTATGGCTTGGTGGTAGAAGCTGTTAAGGAGCCTTTTGGACATATACTTGGCGCTCCGGTACTGCATGCAGTGAGGCAGCAGAGAGAACAGTCTATGAGTCTTTGGAAAATGTTTGGGACTTCCTCTGACACTGCCTAGTATGTACACTACCAGTCAAAAGTTTGGACACCTACTCATTCAAGGATTTGTCTTTATTTTTACTATTCTTTACATTGTAGAATAATAGTGAAGACATCAAAACTATGGAATAACACATACGAATCATGTAGTAACCAAAAAAGTGGTATTTGAGATTCTTCAAATATCCACCCTTTGCCTTGATGACAGTTTTGCACACTCTTGGCATTCTCTCAACCAGCTTCATAAGGTAGTCACCTGGAATGCATTTCAGTTAACAAGTGTGCCTTCTTAAAAGTTAATTTGTGGAATTTCTTTCTTTCTTAATGCATATGAGCCAATCAGTTGTGTGGTGACAAGGTAGGGGGGGTATACAGAAGATAGCCCTATTTGGTAAAAGACCAAGTCCATATTATGGCAAGAACAGCTCAAATAAGTAAAGAGAAATGACAGTCTATCATTACTTTAAGACATGAAGGTAAGTCAATACAGAACATTTCAAGAACTTTGAAAGTTTCTTCAAGTGCAGTCACAAAAACCATCAAGCGCTATGATGAAACTGGCTCTCATGAGGACCACCACAGGAATGGAAGACCCAGAGTTACCTCTGCTGCAGAGGATAAGTTCATTAGAGTTACCAGCCTCAGAAATTGCAGCCCAAATAAATGCTTAACGGAGTTCAAGTCACAGACACATCTTAACATCAACTGTTCAGAGGGGACTGTGAATCAAGCCTTCATGGTCGAATTGCTGCAAAGAACCCCCTACTGAAGGACACTAATAATAAGAAGAGACCTGCTTGGGCCAAGAAACACGAGCAATGGAAATTAGACCGGTGGAAATGTGTCCTTTGGTCTGGAGTCCAAATTTGAGATTTTTGGTTCCAACCGCTGGGTTTTTGTGAGACGCGGTGTGGGTGAACGGATGATCTCCGGATGTGTATTTCTCACCATAAAGCATGGAGGAGGAGGTGTTATGGTGTGGGGGTGCTTTGCTGGTGACACTGTCTGTGATTTATTTAGAATGCAAGGCACACTTAACCAGCATGGCTACCACAGCATTCTGCAGCGATATGCCATGCCATCTGGTTTGGGCTTAGTGGGACTATCAGGCTGTGTAAGGGCTATTTTACCAAGAAGGAGAGTGATGGAGTGCTGCATCAGATGACCTGGCCTCCACAATCCACCGACCTCAACCCAATTGAGATGGTTTGGGATGAGTCGGATGGCAGAGTGAAGGAAAAGCAGCCAACAAGTGCTCAGCATATGTGGGAACTCCTTCAAGACTGTTGGAAAAGCATTCCCGGTGAAGCTCGTTGAGAGAATGCCAAGAGTGTGCAAAGCTGTCATCAAGGCAAAGGTTGGCTATTTGAAGAATCTCAAATATAAAATATATTTTGATTTGTTTAACACTTTTTTGGTTACTACAGGATTCCATATGTGTTATTTCATAGTTTTGATGTCTTCACTATTATTCTACAATGTAGAAAATAGTCAAAATAAAGAAAAACCCTTGAATGAGTAGGTTTGTCCAAACTTTTGACTGGTACTGTAGGTCCTGATGGCAGGAAGCTTGGCCCCAGTGATGTACAGGGCCATACGCACTACCCTCTGTAGCGCCTTACGGTCGGATGCCGAGCAGTTGCCATACCAGGCAGTGATGCAACCGGTCAGAATGCTCTTGATGGAGCAGCTGTATAACTTTTTGAGGATCTGAGGACCCATGCCAAATCTTTTCAGTCTCCTGAGGGGGAAAAGGCGTTGTCGTGCCGTCTTCACGACTGTCTTGGTGTGTTTGGACCATGATAGTTTGTTGGTGATGTGGACACCAAGGAACTTGACTCTCTCGACCCGCTCCACTACAGCCCCGTCGATGTGAATGGGGCCGTGTTCTGCCCTCCTTTTCCTGTAGTCCACGATCAGCTTCTTTGTCTTGCTCATGTTGAGGGAGAGGTTGTTGTTCTGGCACCACACTGCCAGGTCTCTGACCTCCTCCCTATAGGCTGTCTCATCGTTGTCGGTGATCAGGCCTACCACTGTTGTGTCGTCAGCAAGCTTAATGATGGTGTTGGAGTCGTGCTTGGCCACGTAGTCTTGGGTGAACAGGGAGTACAGGAGGGGACTAAGCACGCACCCCTGAGGTGCCCCTGTGTTGAGGATCAGCGTGGCAGATGTGTTGTTGCCTACCCTTACCACCTGGGGGCGGCCCGTCAGGAAGTCCAGGATCCAATTGCAGAGGGAGGTGTTTAGTCCCAGGGTCCTTAGCTTAGTGATGAGCGTTGTGGGCACTATGGTGTTGAACGCTGAGCTTTAGTCAATGAACAGCATTCTCACATAGGAGTGCGATTGAGATTGCGTCATCTGTGGATCTGTTGGGGCGGTATGCGAATTGGAGTGGGTCTAGTGTTTCCGGCATGATGGTGTTGATGTGAGCCATGACCAGCCTTTCAAAGCACTTCATGGCTACCGACGTGACTGCTACGGGGCGGTAGTCATTTAGGCAGGTTACCTTCGCTTTCTTGGGCACAGGGACTATGGTGGTCTGCTTGAAACATGTAGGTATTACAGACTCGGTCAGGGAGAGGTTGAAAATGTCAGTGAAGACACTTGCCAGTTGGTCAGCGCATGCTCTGAGTACACGTCCTGGTAATCCGTCTGGACCCGTGGCCTTGTGAATGTTGACCTGTTTAAAGGTCTTGCTCACATCGGCTACGGAGAGCGTGATCACACAGTAGTCCGGAAACAGCTGGTGCTGATGTGTATTCTTTAAAGAATTAGGAGATAGAACTGGGTTAATCACGAACATTGAGTTAGAATTGTTTGTTACTGGGCTAGGAATTTAATTGGGACATTTCACTGTGTGTGTGGGGGAGTAGAGAGGAAATCTGCCCTAGGGTCAGATTGCTTGCTCTTACTTAAATCCATGGCGGTCTTATCTGATGAGAGACTGAAACTAGCTTGTGGCCTTTTGTCTCTCTCTTCAAACACAGTGAAGGGAGCGGCACCAGGGTTGAATAGAGTTTGGGCTAGACCTTTGTCTCCTTGGTATCTTCTTGATTGATTACAGCATGAGGGGGTAAGGTTTGTGTGATTTAGGGCCTTGTCATGTTTAAACTAAACATGAGTGTGTGTGCAAGACAGGGGAGCGAGTGATTTGTTTGAGTAATAGTTCAGCTGTCCGCAGGGACAAAGGAAGTGGGTGTGGAGTGATAAAGAGCGGGAAACTGAAGAGGGAGGGATTTAGAGCTAGAAGAGTTGGGGAAAATTGTATATAATGTGACGTGAGGAAAACAGAATGGGGTGCCACACTGCAGACTGGTATTGGCTTTGTTGAAAACTTTAATAAAGTCATTTCTTGATGCAACAAAAACTCTGTAAGACCTTATTTGTAATAAAGTATAGTGGTTATTTTCCACAACAGTGCTCTCATGCATGCTTCACTGTTGCTTGCCTCGAAGCGAGCATAAAAGGCATTTAGCCCGTCTGGTAGGCTCGCGTCACTGGGCAGCTCGCGGCTGGGTTTCCCTTTGTAGTCCGTAATAGTTTGCAGGCCCTGCCACATCCAACGAGTGTCAGAGCCGGTGTAGTAGGATTCAATCTTAGTCCTGTATTGATGCTTTGCCTGTTTGATGGTTCGTCTGAGGGCATAGCGGGATTTCTTAAAAGCGTACGGATTAGTGTCCCGCTCCTTGAAAGTGGCAGCTCTAGCCTTTAGCTCGGTGTGGATGTTGTCTGTAATCCATGGCTTCTGGTTGGGGTATGTACGTACGGTCACTGTGGGGACAACGTCGTCGATGCACTTATTGATAAAGCCGGTGACTGAGGTGGTATACTCCTCAATGCCATTTGCTCAATCCCGGAACATATTCAAGTCTCTGCTAGCAAAACCGTCTTGTAGCGTAGCATCCGCGTCATCTGACCATTTCCGTATTGAGCGAGTCACTGGTACTTCCTGCTTTAGTTTTTGCTTGTAAGCAGGAATCAGGAGGATAGAATTATGGTCAGATTTAGTCAATGAACAGCATTCATTTGGAGGCCGAGGGAGAGCTTTGTATGCGTCTCTGTGTGTGGAGTAAAGGTGGTCTAGAGTTTATTTTTTTCTCTGGTTGCACATGTGACATGCTGGTAGAAATGATGTAAAATGGATTTAAGTTTGCCTGCATTAAAGTCCCCGGCCGCTAGGAGCGCCGCTTCTGGATGAGCATTTTCTTGTTTGCTTATGGCCTTATACAGCTCATTGAGTGCGGTCTTAGTGCCAGCATCGGTTTGTGGTGGTAAATAGACGGCTACGAAAAATATAGATGAAAACTCTCTTGGTAGATAGAGTACCTCATGATAAGCTGTAGACCACACTATCTCAGGCGAGCAATACCTCGAGACTTCCTTAATATTATACATTGCGCAGCAGCTGTTATTGACAAATAGACACACACCACCATCCCTCGTCTTACCGGACGTAGCTGTTCTGTCCTGCCGATGCACGGAAAATCCAGCTAACTGTATATTATCCGTGTCGTCGTTCAGCCACAACTCGGTAAAACATAAGATATTACCGTTTTTTAATGTCCCGTTGGTAGGATAGTCTTGAACGGAGCTCATCCATTTTATTCTCCATTGATTGCACGTTGGCCAATAGAACGCATGGTAGAGGTGGGTTTCCCACTTGCCGACGAATTCTCACAAGGCACCCCGATCTCCGCCCCCTGTACCTCCGTCTTTCCATCACACGAATGACTGATATTTGGGCCTGGTTTTGGAGAAACAGTATATCCTTCGCGATGGACTCATTAAATAAATAATCTTTGTCCAGTTCGAGGTGAGTAATCCCTGTTCTGATATCCAGAAGCTCTTTTCGGTCATAAGAGACAGTAGCAGCAACATTATGTACAAAATAAGTTACAAACAATGTGAAAAAACACACAAAATAGCACAGTTGGTTAGGAGCCCGTAAAACGGCAGCCATCCCCTCCGGCGCCATTCTCCCCTCATGATGATGATGAGGATGATGTATCCACACAGTAAGCATCATCAAAATGCTTTAAAGCAATGTACTGTAAATGCGTTCATTGTCTTTTAACCCCTGCCTCTATTATTGTGTGTGTGTGTGTGTGTGTTGTGTGTGTGTGTGTGTGTGTGTTGTGTGTCTGTGTGTGTGTTTAGATCTTCTGTGCCCCGTCGTTCGATGATAAGATCCTGGAGGTGGTAGCAGTGTTCGGCAGTATGCAGATGGCTGTGTCCAGAGTCATCAAACTGCAACACCACCGCATAGCACAGGTAACACACCCGTGCGAACACGCACACACTACTTGTATCATACTGTCGTTTTTCATCATATGACTCTTTCCTCCCCGGTCAGTGTCGCTCAGTGAAGATCACTATCCTGGGAGATGAGGGTGTTCCTATCCAAGTGGACGGAGAGGCCTGGATACAACCTCCTGGAGTCATCAAGATCCAACACAAGAACAGAGCCCAGATGTTGACCAGAGACAGGGTGAGCGAGAGATAGAGTGAAGGAGGAGGAGGGGTGTAGGAAGGAGGGAGGGAGTCCCAGAGTGTGAGAAAAAGAGGACATACAGTCAATGGTGATTAATATAGAGAGGAAGGGAGAGAAAGAGATGCTGAGAGGAAGAGAGAAAAGGGGATGCCCTGTCTCTGTCTGTGGATGTGAACTCCTATCCTCCCTGTCAATGTGCAGGCGTTTGAGAACACTCTGAAGTCATGGGAGGACAAGCTGAAGTATGACAAGCTGCCTCTGCGGCCTCACCTCTACCCCCAGCAGTCTGTGGACCTTGCCACTGAGGAGGAGGTAGCCCTCGTACAGCTGGTTGCCCGTGCCGCGGACGAGCTCATCACCAGGTACACACGCACACGCACACGCACACGCACACACACACACACACACACACACACACACAACCACCATATTTCACTCCCTTTTAAACTGTTATCTGTCATTATATTGAATATTGTACCTGTAAACCCTCTGTCAATCAGCAGTCAGAACTGTGCCCTCTGACTCCCCTCTCCAATCACAGGATCTGTGAGGCAGCCAAGACCAATGGGCTTCTAGAGCAGGAGCTTGCTCACGCCGTCAATGCCTCTTCACATGCCATCAACAAGACACATCCCAAGTTCCCAGAGGTTAGTGACGTCATCAACAGGTTATGTGTGTGATATGAGGATTGTGTGTGTGTGATTTTAGTTGTCTAATATCATGTTTGTTTGTATTGCCTTGTCGCCAGAGTATGGCCAGGAACACTGCTATAGAAGTAGCCAGTAATGTGAAGGCTTTACACAACGAGACTGAATCCCTTCTGGTGGGACGAGTATCACTGGTGAGTTACAATCTAGGAGGATGAGCAGGGTCTAGGATCAGTTTAGCCTTCCTAAATCCTAACCTGAACCATTTAGGAGGGAAAACGCAAAACTGACCTTAGACCAGTGTCGAAGGGCAACTTCATCTTACACAGTTCTCTGTACAGAAAATGTATTTATCTCCTTCCTACCCATCTCCTGTGTGTGTCCATCCGCAGCAACTGGAACCCTCAGATGAAGAGTCTTTATCCAGTGCTCTGCAGAGTGTGGAGATGGAGCTAGGCAAACTAGTTGATATCCCCTGGTTATACCATATACTGCAGCCCAATGAAGATGAGGTGAGAACACACACACACACACACACACACACACACCACACACACACACACACACACACACACACACACACACACACACACACACACACTTCTAATCCTACACCTGTGTCCATCTCAGGACCCCTCGTTAGAGTATGGCAAGAGGAACAGTCGTAGCAGCATGTTCAGAATCGTGCCAAAGTTCAAGAAAGAGAAAGCTACCAAGAAGACCAGCCCTCAGTCAGGTAAGTGTTGGTCTTCTGTGTCTCTCTCCACAGGCTTTGTATACACACGCACACACACAAACATACACACACGAAACAGGAGTGTGTATATAATGTGTAAATATCACAATACATTGTTTTTGTTTTATCGGCTGTTGGAGAAAGTAACTACATAGGTTTAGAACTAAGGTCTTTAAGGTCTCTGTGGCCTACATATAGTGGTTGTAATGCATTATAAGCACCCAGTGTGGTGTCAGGGATTGTCTCTGTGAACTCTGTCTCCCCGGTCCTCAGTCTGACCCAGCCATCCAAGAGCACCCCTCTTCTCTCTGTTCATGGTCTCATCTACCTGTCTACACATGTACAGCAGGCACAAACCAAGGCCAAAGACAGGGTGAGGGTGGTGAACGCAGGGCCAAAAACCCTGGGGTTGCCCAGAGAAAGACATTTCCTGTATTAGAACACCATTTCGCCTTCATGACGACTGATACAACTGAACATTGACTGCATTTGTTTATGAATATTACTTCCAATTGAACATGAAAACAATCAATATCTACTGTATGCTTGCTTCAGCTGAACTCTCGTCTCATAAACTCTTGTCTCATTGTTATGGGGTGAAATGAGATATGATGCTAGCGACATCAGACCGTAGAATGGATACAAATAGAATGCCAGGGGTTGGCTGGTCCTCTGCTTTAGGACCCCGTCTGATTGGTTGGGAGTGTGTTAGTCCCGCCTACAGTGAGGCAGGGCAAGGTGTTGATTGGGTGGGGCGTTCCTGTAGGTTGCACAGGCTTCCGCCTCCCTCTCCCTCCTACTTCCTGTACGTCTGTGTTCTGATTGGTGGATAACCTGCATGCCCTCAGCCTCTCTGGAAGGCCATTGGCCACAGCCCTGTTTTCCGACCAACCAACCTCTGACATCTCTGTTAACCCCTCCTCTTTCCCACCATTTGCTGCCGCCTTTCCTCTCCCTCCCTCCCTTCCTTCCTTTCTTCCTCTACCTCTCCTCCTCTCTCTGTTTTCCTATCCCTCTATTGGGATTGTCTCTCTCTGAGTGTGTGTGTGCACGCGAGCAAGGGTCTCAGACACTGAGCGAGCCCCTTCTTGCTCTATATGTGTGTGTAGTGGAGAGATGGGGCACAGAGGAAGTGGGCGTCTGGCTGGAGCAACTCAGTCTGGGAGAGTACAGAGACACCTTCACACGCCACGACATCCGAGGCTCCGAACTGCTGCACCTGGAGAGGAGGGACCTGAAGGTACACGCACACACACACTCAAACACACACGCTAATGCATACACACACTCACTCACACACACACCCGTTACCTCATCTATCCCCAGATCAAAACTCTTTCTCTCTTCCCCTCCGTTTCTCTCCATCTCTTTCTCTCTGATTCTGTTGGCCGTTAGCTGTCTCCCTGTTTGCTACTCTGTGCTGCACTGCTCTGCTTGGCTTTGTCTGTGTGTGAGAGTGTTGCTTACCTACCGCAGGAGACTGGCTGTAACTCACTAACCCCCCAGTCTCCACTGATACTGTGTGCGAACTGGGAACGGGACAGGGCTGGGGAATGGGGGAGGGCTGGGGGAGCAGGAGTGTTGGGTAAAGGAGGGTTGGGGTGCCACCATAGACGAGACTAAAAGCTGTTTTAGGTAGGAGCAACATAGAGACAGTATTCACGGACAGAGGCATAACAACTCCCAGTGAAGCCGACCCCAGAGGTGTGTGAGTGAACATGCTTTTTGGAGTGCTGCTTAACCTGGGTGACAGATACTTGGAGTTATAGGAGAAAGATGTCCAATGTTGACTCCACTCTGAGAAAATACCTCAGCGAGAAACAAGGGATATCCCACTGCACACTTTAGACACCTTGTTTATCACCAAAACATCCATGGAGATGGAGTGTCATTTAAACTTGTTTATTAAAAAAACATTGTTTATCAGAGTTTCATATACCAATGATGCTAATGGATCTACAGTAGGGGGATTGAATGAGGGCAAAGCGAGGGGATGACTTTCTGACATTGGACAGTAATAGACACACACGTGCCCACATCCATATGAGCAACAGGCCTACCATACCTTGGACTGTGCCAGTGTTTCTCTCTCTCTCTCTCTGTGTGTGTGTGTGTGTGTGTGTGTGTGTGTGTGTGTGTGTGTGTGTGTGTGTGTGTGTGTGTGTGTGTGTGTCCCCTCATTCCAAATCTGTCCCCTCCATATTGCTATGGCAATACCACCATTATCTAGCGAAAAAACATAATTGGAAGTTTCTTCCTAAACACTATTACATAATTATAATTGATCAATATTTAGAAACATGGTAACACTTTACTTAAAGGTCCAATGCAGATGTTTTTTTTCTCTTCTCAACAGCAAATTATTTCTGGGTAACAATTAAGTACCTTACTGTGGTTGTTTTCAATTAAAATTGTCAAAAATAAACAAAAATAGCTTCTTAGCAAAGGGACATTTATCAAGAAAGATTTTTGCTAGGACTGTCTGGGAGTGGTGAGGGGATAACTGAAAACTAGCTGTTATTGGCAGAGAGGTTTGGAACTATTTTTCTTATTTGTCTATGAACTAATTTAATGTATGGTGATGTCACCATGGAAGGCCAAAACCCCATCCCACAAAAACAGGCAGAAATTTCAGCCGGTCTTTTCAAACAGCTCATACACTAAAAGGGCATTATCATAATTGTCACAATTTCACAGTAATATTCCAACCTCATAGTGTGGAAATGTATATAAAACACAGGAAAATCACATTTTCCACTGTACTGGGCCTTTAACACTTACAGGTATAATATGCAGTTTTAATGCATTGTAAGACTTGTCATACGCATGTAAGAGGACCTTCCCACTGGGCAAAAACTGGTTGAATCAATGTTGTTTCCACGTCATCTCAACAAACAAACAAATATGTGATGATGTTGAATCAATGTGGAAAACTGATTGGATTTGCGAAAAATCACCAAAATGTTACCTAAAATGTTGACTACCCAACCAATTGTAAATCAAAACTAGACGTTGAAATGACATCTGTGCCCAGTGGGTTATAATGCTTTGCAGCATATAAGTATTAAATATATTTAAGCAATAAGGCCCGAGGAGGTGTGGTATATGGCCAGTATACCACGGCTAAGGGCTGTTCTTATGCACAACGCAACGCGGCGTTCCTGGATACAGCCCTTAGCCTTGGTATATTGTCAATATACCACAAACGCCCGAGGTGCCTTGTTGCGATTATAAACTGGTTGCCAACGTAATTAGAGCAGTAAAAATACATGTTTTGTAGGGGTGTAACGATTCGTTTTAACAACGATTCGATTTGTATCACGATTCGTGGTTGTCGATACGATTCAAGGACGATATTGGTTCATTTAGAACGATACGATCCGAAACGATTCAGTGACTTGAAATCGATTCAGTAACCTTTTAGCCAAAAATTCAACCAGTGTGACTGAAATAAATACCTGGATACTGGACAGTGCAGGTGAAGTTTCCTAGATTCCTGTTTCTTGTAAGGACCGCAATGGTGGCTTGATAATTTCTCACTCGTCGGCTTCTCCTCTGTCGTCCGCCATGCTATGTTTTGTTGTCTTTGCGCCTTTGCGCTGCTGCTGGCGCGGGGCGATGACGTCACGGATAGGCAGACTGAATCGAGTAATGTTTAAAGCCTTTATCATTAAAAGTGCTAAGAAAAAACATCCATATAAAGTCTGACGTGCTTAAATCCAATGGGTTATTTCCTAGTATCGATACAATCGATTTATTACATTTTAAAACGATGTTAGATTGATATATGTTGTCCAAAAGGCCAACTCGCCGAGCACAGATCGATGTAGTTGGATCATAGGAATATAAATAGATACATCAATGTAGTAGATGGATCGTTACACCCCTAATGTTTTGTCATACCCGTGGTATACAGTACGATCTGATATACCACGGCTTTCAGCCAATCAGCATTCAGGGCTCGAACCACCCAGTTTATAATCCTTATTATAAGACATTTTGAGTGCCTAAAGCATGCCATTTGGCTTTAATTAGTGTTACCAAACTATCACACAGAAAATGGCCAAAGGATCATACATACGAACAGTGGCAGCTACATGCTGTTCAGTAGTGTGCTCCACGTTTGAATATTTGCAATGGTTATTGAAAGGTAGGTACAGCACAACACAACATGTCTGTTCACACTGTCTGTTTTGTCATTGACCAGAATATATTGTTTTTACAGTACATGACCTGTTGCTTTGTACTATCTGGCACTATGGGACATATTCAGCACACATGAAGTGAAACATGTATTACTGGCTGCCTTTAAAGCTAGATTCCGTCGTTGCTATGTCCATTTTTTGACTTATAAATTAATCATATATACCTGTTGATTCTTGAAGAATATAACTTATAAATCCATCATGGGCTTAGTTTAACTGTCACACCCCATCAGAACCCCAAATATAAGCGTGTTTTACTCCAATGTTTGTAAACAACTATATGTAAACAAACATTGTATAGCCTCAAAACATGGTTAAAACTATAATTTTGGCCATTCTTGAATGCACATTGGAAACTCTTGAGCATGAAAAACCCAGCAGGGTTGCAGTTCTTGACACAAACTGGTGCGCCTGGCACCTACTACCATACCCAGTTCAAAGGAACTTAAATATTTTGTCTTGCCAATTCACACTCTGAATGGTACACATACACAATCCATGTCTCAATTGTCTCAAGGCTTAAAAATCCTTCTTTAACCTGTCTTCTCCCCTTCATCTACAATGATTGAAGTGAATTTATCAAGTGGCATCAATAAAGGATCATAGCTTTCACCTGGATTCACCTGGTCAGTCTATGTCATGGAAAGAACAGATGTCCTTAATGTTTTGTATACTCAGTGTAGATACTGCTCCTACTTCATAGATCCTACTATATTGACACTATAAATCTTAGTATAAAGTGGCAAAATGAGTGTCTGCGTTACAGGGTGTGCAAGAGCAAGACGTAAAACAAAAACATAAAACGGAGATAGTGATTCAAAATGAAGATATAAAAGAAAATGATTTCCATAATTATTTCGTTTTTAAATAGTAGAATCAATGTTCTTAAGATGTTGTCTTCTCTCCACAGGATCTGGGGATATCGAAAGTGGGTCATATGAAGAGAATTCTTCAGGGAACTAAGGACCTGGCTAAGACCGCCATGATTGACCTCTAACCCAGAAGTAGTTGGAGAGGAAGTGCCCCTCCACCACAGAGGAAGTGTTTTGGAGCTCCGCAGGAAGAGCTGAATGCCTGGTATCTTGGGATGAATGGATGGATGGATGGATTTGATCCTTTGGATGAATTTGGGAAAGCTGTGGAGAGAAGCTTTAGAACAAGAATGTTTTAGTGAAGCTGTGATTGGTGCCAAAATGGAAGATGGAACTTGACAGTTGTTGACAGTGCAAAGAAGGAAGTCATGGATCTTCACAAAAAGCCATTTTTCTAAAATCATATTACCATTCATGGCACAATCAGGTATGCAACCTATCATATCATTATAAATGTTTGATTGGTCGCCTGGCATCGTAGAGAAGGCCCAATCCAAGTAGCAACAATGGGACTTCCATGAGTGTGCCCTACCATCAGGGTGTGAGTGTGTCCAGTTCAGTACAGTACCGTATGGCTTTGTGATTGGCTTACTCGCTCTTTGCTTAGCAGTAGACGGCTACAGATGCAACACTACAGTCACAATATCCTGCTTTCACTGTTTACACCAGAGGAGATGGACTACTTCCCAAATGGCACCCTATTCCCTATGTAGGGCATTACATTTGAGTGGTGCACTATGTAGGGAATAGGGTGTGATTACAGATGTGCCCTGGGAGAAGGCGAGATGCAACATCACAACCTAAAGAGAGTGAAGAGAGGTCTCGGAAAACAGTGAGACATATGTTGCATGCTATGCTAGCTTGACTTTGGATATCTATTTTGAATTGCATGAATAGTGTTTAGATTTTTTTGTGTAAAAAGATAACACTTGAACAAGTTTTTTTTTTTATATGACTTTAGTATTATTATGCCATTTGTTACTACTGAAAGCATCATTTTGGTTTGATTCTTTTTTTTAAATTTTTTATTTGTATTTATTTGTTTTTGCATGATGATTCTGTGTCAAAGACCTATGTCATGTGCCATATTTTAGTCATTTTATTGTAAAATGTGCTTTATTGGTAAGGAAACATCTGAATTTAAGACAAATTATCAGATTAGGAGTTATTTTGTCATTTGACACGTTTTCTGTTGTGAAAATCAGTACCAAAGTGAATGTCCAAGACACTTCCGAACTTAAATGTTAACTTTGAAAGTAGTGAAAATATTGTTAGAATGTTTGGGATAAATATCAGTTACGTATAGAGGGAGTGGATTTGCTGGCTGTAAGCCAACAATTTCATATTTTTATGGAATACTTAATAGGCACTTTTCCATTTTGCTGTTTGCAAAGTTACATGCTCATATCAGTAAATACATTTCACTACAATCTTTAGCATTTAAACACAATATTTCACAGAGTAACACTATGGTAGTGGGAATAGGAATTATATATTGATTTAAGTAGAGCAGCTGAGGAGCAAAGGAGTTTTGCTAAAGTGCAGCTTTTCTAAATTGCTCAGTGTGATATGTAATGTTGATAGGACACTTATTTTGTTAGATTGGTTGCAATACAGGGTATATTTGTGTATGTGATGCTAAGTATGCACTGTATATATGCAATCTAAACCAGTGTATGCATACACTGTTAGTAGCTATTCTAGTCCAATGCCTTTGTAGATTGCTGACATGACATGCAGTGTCAACAGCTAACATGTTTTGATGACATTGTTTATTGATTTGCACCATAAACACCAATTGTGGATTATTGATTTTGGTAAGTAGGCTAATCTCTCCTGTATTTGTTTAATGCTGTTGTATTTTAATGGAGGTGCAATATTGTATTGGTTTTGATACAGTCTCTCTGACGTGTTGTTTCGCTGTGGGGAAAACCGAAAGGGTTTTGTATACACGGACCGACTTTTAAACTAAATAGCGTTTTCAACTAGTTAATTTTCATTCAAAATTCTTCCAACAGCTCGGTTTTTAGTCTCGTTCCTCTGTGCTTCCAGGATGATTCTCAAAGCAGGATGCAGGAAATAATAGACTGTTGAATGGGCAGACCTGACTGTTGTTCTATGCTATGTATTTATATATGATCCCTTGTATGTTCATTTACATCAGCTAAATACATTGCAAAAACTGTATGTTTATTATTGATCGGCCAACTTGTAATATCAATGATCCTATATCAATTGATCCATTTATTTAATTTTTTTACCTGAACAAAACTGTTTGTATCAGGATCTTGGCTTGCTTTATTTTACAGTCCTCCTGTACCCCAATATCTACTACCAAATTGAAAATGAAAGTTATTTCATTCATGATCACATGGTAATTACATTTTCGTTTCTTTGGGATTCATTGAGAAAGCAATTAATATTTTTAGTACCAGTTAATTACCAATTGTGTTAATTTATTTGAAGTAAGCACCAGAAAGTAGCTTGTATCTTTTACTTTTAGTGTAAATATAGGACTGTAAAATAAAGCATTACCTACAATATTCTTAGAGGGTGCCACATATCACACCTTGAAATAACTAGTTTCCCACCCACATCTCTTTTGGTGACTTCTCAAGAGAATTCACATTATCAAGAAGCATATAGACTATCCTCACAGTCAAGTATTTTCTTAAAACATGAAATCCAAATCATGAGGCCTTTAAATGTCCTGAAACATAAACCTTTTTTTTCTAGTCCTACCTTAGTAAAAAAGTGTCTAGACAAAATAAATGTGCTTTATTGCAAGTATGATTGTTATGAAAAAAAAAAAATAATAATTAAAGTTAATAGACCCAAAGTAGCTATGTTCCTAACCAAAGATATGAATTAAACATATTCTGAACATTCAATCTTTTATGAAATCCTAAGTACCCAACCCACAATTCTTGATCATTAACTGTATGTCAGACATTGTGTGACAGTCAGATGACTATCAGTTGTTTGTTTGTGTCACAGTCATGTCTTGTTGTCTTTAAGTGGCTTTGTTATGGGCTGGTTTCACAGACATATTGAAGATGGATTGATTTTAAGGAGGCCTAGCGCTTGTTCTCAGAGTGGTTTAACATTCGAATACATAGTTCTGTATTTATATTAAAACCACATTTTCAGTAGTCTGAATTCAAGTGCAATCTAGATAGTTTATGTCTGTGTTTTCAGCTCAATGTGCTTTAATCTGAGCTGTGAGTTTCCTCACTGCAGGTCAAACTCAAAGCTTCAGTTCACAGGCTATGTGTGTCTGTCTGAAGGGTCTCTGCCTGGTTTTGCATGACTGTGTTAGACCCCATTCCAGGCTTAGAGAGAGAGAGAGCTTGAGTTCTCCAATCTGGGGAGAAGTTTCCCATACGCACAGATCTAAGATCAGTTTACCTCCCCCAATCCTTACCATAACCATTAGGAGGGGAAAACGCAAAACTGACCTTAGATCAGCATCCAAGGGCAAGGGTATATATAATGCTGCAAACTGCCTGGTTTTCATAAACCAACCAAACCCTATGTGAGGATATTTTAGGATGATGGTCTATAGCATGGTGGAAGAGAAGTGAGTTTCATTTGTTTACATTATGTTTACAATGGCACAGTTAACATTTTTAAGGATAAATATATATAGATATACAATATTTGCATATTTATTGCCTAAGGTTAAACAATATGATGATGTGTAACTGTGTTTTCATCTTTGGAATATAATGTTACAGTTGTCACCTGTATTACTATCTGGATGATTTTGGTAGTTGGTAATTTTAATGACTACTAAGTGACTGTTTGCTGTGCCTTTTTATGGTTAGAATGCATGGTTAACTATTTATTACAATATGGAAGTCACTGAGATGTGTATTTTTGTATTCGGATTAAATAAATGGTTCAACTTTGTTGTACATTTTCTTAGGTGCCTTAAAAACAAGGCTACCGGTTCATATCTTCCTTCTTCAATAAAAGTGAATGCATAAACAATGTGTCATGCTATTTCTGCCTAGCCAAAGACTGTTTTACCTTCATTACATATGTTGTTTGTTTATACTGCTTGTTGTTTAATCCCATTTTTAAAAAAAACTATGTAGAGAGAACAACTCATATATGCATTTAATGTTCTTGTTTACTAATTAACTGGTACTGGGCTATTTATTATCTGTTCATGTAAAGTAGGTCTACATACAATTATGTATGTAGTTAGACCTAAACACAGATTTTCAAAAAACAGACGTTCAAAAAACGAAAAGCATTAGGCTACATTTAATAGGACAAAAGGGGTGGAGTTTGTCAAAGACTACAGACCTGTCTTGCATGCTGGTACTGGTAGTGACAATAGATTCTGAACGAGGATGTTCATGTTGAAACAATTGCATCGCTGGAGAACTACAATGTCCTACCATGCGGGGGATAATGTGGGACTCATGCCTAACGTTTGCCATTATGTCTCGCTTTGTAACTGCCAGTAGTCATGTCAGTATTGGGAGCTTACCTGTTGTTATTAGCGCTATTCTACAGGGATGGGATGAGACTGACCGCGAGCGGTTTGGCTGCCGCGGGCCAGATGGCTCAGCGCGCTGACGACGATGTTGTAGACTTTATTGTTAAGGGCGCACCATACCAGCAAGTGGTTCAACAAATTCATCAGTACCAGACAGCATCAGTCTACTCATCAGGTATGTATTCGCCAATCAGTTTAGAGATGGAAGGTTGCTCCTGGTTTTAAATAAAGTTATTTAAAGTGTGTGGTGTTAAAATAATATTGTGTAAACTGTATAGATAGCCAGCAAACTATCATTTAATCTCATAAATGATGATAATAATAATGATCATTTTACATCTTTAGATATCTTAAATGTGCATAGTATGCCATACTTGCAGGATAGGCCTACAGGTGAGGCAGCACAGGTTTGGTATATTTTTTTCATACCCATATTTTTTCCCTTCAGAGAACCTTTGAATGAGAGACTCAGTTTAAATTGCGGTAGAAGCCCCATTAGGTGTGCTGTAAGCCAAATATACCACAATACAAGACATGCTGTGTACTGCATGCCTATCTCCATCTGCTGTTTATTAGTCAGCAAGCACAGTGAAGAATCTTTGGGAAATGTCTGCCTATAACTGTATTTGGCCAGTTTTTACATTAGCTTATAATGTAATTCAGAGTATGAATTAACTAAAATGAACAGATCATTTCCAAAGCCAAACATGTTCATTTTAATTTAGCTAGTCATGATATTGGTTTGGAGTTTGGACCACCATTACAGCATGATCCAAGGGCCTCAAAGCTTCTACACAGCAGGCTGCCTACTTGTTTACAACGCTGCATGAATGACAGGCTTGCATTCATATTTCTGTTCGGAGTCTTTATGATTTATTCATCATTGTGTAGGAGTTAATTCCCATAATGCTTATTCACATGCACTTCTAGCTCATTGCGTCCAATAAGGAACATTTATTCACAACAAAAGAACAAAAGGCACCTTCTATCGCTGTACCAGATGTTCAGAAGCCTGGTCCCAGATCTATTTGTGCTGCTGTCTGGCCTATTCCTATGGTCATTGTTATGCATTGGTTGGGCAAGACAGCACAAAGACATCTAGGACCAGACTAATGTCCAGTTGCAGGGATCAGGAATTTGATTGTTTGTCCCACATTGAAGAGGCTAAGACAAGGATTTTGATCATTTTAATTATTTGTCAAATTCCTTCTGGTGTGTCTCCTAACAAGGTCACACTGTTTGCTTGTCCTCTCTCCTTGACAACATGGCACCCCCTACAAGGTCTTACCATAAACTAGCCTGGTCCCAGATCTGTTTGCCATTGCCGTGACAATGACCATAGGGGTTGGTAAGATGGCACAAACAGATCTGGGACCAGGCTAACTGTTAGCATCAAAATGACCTAAATCTCAGCACCATTCCACTTTCCTATACATTTCATTATGGTGTCTATATTAGGACAGTGATTTGGCTTGGATTGTCCCGGTGATGTTGTGCAATTGTAGAGGGAATGGCTTAATCCCAACACAGCAGTGTCTGAACCGGAGCCACAGAGGATCAGTCTCCACAGGCCCATCTGCTCCTCCTATTTGTGTACACACACACAAACACACACACTTTCTTGCAAAATGTAGGCTAATTCCCACAGAAACCATTTAATTTTCTGTTTCCAAGTCTCAAAAGATATTCTACATATCATGTCATATGATTGACGTTACCAACTATAGCTGGCTCCTCACTCTCCATTTAATTTGTGTTTATAGCATGTGATTCCACCTATCTATCCATGTCTGTCATGTCTATTGGAATGATGACCTCATAGGCCGGAAACCCCCATTCTGTCCAAGCCCCTAAATCTCTCAGAAGTGGGCCCCAATTCTCCAAACAAGTAGATTATAGTAATCTGGTATTATTCACCTCCACACTGCAGATTAATCAGGCCCTTCTGTCCTGTTGGCCCACTAAGACTGCATGGTTGAACATGAGTGTGAAGTGGCTGTAGGGCAGGCTTCTTCCCCTCCTTATCTCTCCTTCATCTCTACTGATCTGAAAACTGCAGGATAGTTGATAGTGATGTAATATATACCTACCCAGAGACTTATTGTCACCTGTCCTCCTCTATAAAATCAGCCCAAAGGAAGGATTTGACAACTGGACAATATCTTTATTAGCCTGTTTGCTGATGTAGCATAATGTTATCTTTCAGACATTGTTATATATTCTCAATAATTGGCCAAATTGAGTGTCTGCATCACATAGGACCATATAATAGACATCCACTAGGAAATCCTCAAATACGTTTTGTTTAGTGTTCTTAATAAGGCATATTTTGCTTTAATCAGGACTATATCATTGCTTAAAAAATTGCCAATCAGTGTTTTTTTCTACATTACAGTATCGAATTGTAAAAAGTAAGAAGATTTTATCATTGAACTGAATTTATCCTTTGGTTTCTCCAGGCTCTGAATTCACTCTGAAGGTCCAGGTCAATGACATGTCAACCCGCCACGTCCTGAGCCTAGCCACAGTGGAGGTGTATGTGAACTACACCAGGACCAACTCTGCTCTCACCACTGAGGACGGTATAGTTTTTCTTCATGTGCCATACCAACTGGGGTTACCCCTCACCATCGTGGCTAGCATGGATAGCTACCTTCTCACCCTGCTGCCCTGGAAAACCACCAGGATACCAAGTAAGTGTGTGTGGTGTGTGTATACTCTTCGTGGCGGCTTGTCATTGCAGTAGTATACAGTAGCTGTTGAATTCTAATGTGAGATCGCCATCTAGTTTCTCAATATAACAACTACACACAGTGACAGTGTGGGGAGCAAGTCAAGCAAGTGCCTATGGAAAGTTTCACCATGCCTTTTCTCTTCTGATTTATTGCAGTATTTTCAGCTGTGACCATGTCCCTGTTGTCCATAAACCAAGGCAACATCTGGTGGTTTGAAGATTCAGTTCTGATAACTGGCAAAACATATGGTATGTATGTTGTGTCTTTATCGTCTGATTTACTTTCCTATTATCCATTCTATGAAGCTTTATTTACACTCTTAGAAAAAAAGCTATCTAGAACCTAAAAGGGTTCTTCGGCTGTCCACATAGGAGAACCCTTTCAAGAACTCTTTTTGGTTCCAGGTAGAACCCTTTTTGAGTTCCATGTAGAACCCTCTGTGTAAAAGGTTCTATATGGAACCCAAAATAGTTCTACCTGGAACCAAAAAGGGTTCTACCTGGAACCAAAAAGGGTTATTCTATGGGGACAGCCGAAGAACCCTTTTGGAACCCTTTTTTCTAAGAGTGTAGGGGTAGCTACTCTTATTCATAGGTCCTAGTTCTTGAACACAAGCTAAACATTGCCTTGTTTTTGTAATTTATCTTCTTAATAACCATATGTCTTTTCATTTGTAGATGCCTTGTCTCAGCCCAGGATCCAGTTCCCTAAGAGTCTCCTGAACCTGACAGACAGAAGAAGCCTCTCCTCTGTCAGAGCTTACCTTACAACACCTCAGCCTCCCGTTGGGAAAGACTGCTATGCCTACACCACTGGCCTACTCATCAACCAGTCAGGTGTGTGTGTTTGTACAGCTTTTCCAAACCACATTCGGAGGGAGGTACAGAGCAAGAGACAACGACCTACAAATTAGCAATACCCAAATGATAAGACCTTTTGCATCGAACTTTTGTATTTGAAAGGTTTTAAAGTGTTTTGTGTTTCAGGATACAGCAGCATTGAGTTGAGCCCTGTAGCAGCTGTCAGTGCTCAGCTCTTGTCCAATGGCAGAGAGATCCAGGTGACCGGGCCAGTACAGATCACTCTACCCCTGGGGGACAACTCTGGACTGCAGGCCTCTCATGCTGTGCCAGCCTGGTCCTTTGACCATACTACTGGTGGGTGTAGCACATTAGAGGCTGCTGCTGCCTATTGAAATCACTGGCCACTTTAAGAAATGGAATACTCGTCACTTTAATAATGTTTACATATCTTGCATTACTCATCTCTTATGTATATACTGTATTCTATAATATTCTACTGTATCTTAGTCCATGCCGCTCTGTCATTGCTCGTCTGTATATGTATATATTCTTAATTCCATTCCTTACTTAGATTTGTGTGTATTGGGTATATGTTGTGAAATTTTTAGATATTACTTGTTAGATATTACTGCACTGTCGGAGCTAGAAGCACAAGCATTTTGCTACACCCGCAATAACATCTGCTAAACACATGTATGTGACAAATCAAATTTGATTTGATTTGTAGAGGTTTTTTTGGGAAGTTGCCCCTAGACAATGATCTAAGGTCAGTTTTAAATGTTCCCCTCTAATGGTTAAGGTTAGGATTTGGGGAAGGAAGGCTGACCCTAGATCAGTAGTTAATACATGTCTTCAACACGTGTGTCATCATCAATATTATTCAGGTGCCTGGATGAACAGAGGACTGGGAATGGTGAAGATGGAGGAGGGGAAGTTGTTTTGGACCTTCATGGCTCCTCATCTAGGCTACTGGATAGCAGCACCCATGCATTCGATCCGGAGTATGTACTGTATGATAGGTAGCCGTTTCCAAATCAACAAAATATTTATGTGACCATTAAGAACTCCTTAAAACTTCAAATCTTAAAACGTACCTCTGTTTATTGTATTATTTGATTAATTTTGGACCAGAATGCAATTCAACCATTGCCAGATATATTGAACTATACATTATTTATACCTAGTGGTCATTTCCAGCAAGCGGATTGTTTATTGTTGTTTATTGTTCTATACGATTTATTTTCTTGTGCTCTCATAACGCTCTCCAACCTTTTAACCAGACTCCTATGTGCTAATGTTATAGGTTACATGGGACATGCCACCCCTATGGATTTCATCTCCCACCAGAGCTCCTCGATCATGGCTGTGCTGGGAGGAACTCTTGTCTTCCTCGTTGGAGTTTTAGCAATGATGCTCTGTTGTCGAAGGTAAAAGATGGATTCATTTTGTTGTTACCTCACTAATCTGTTATTGTGAAGATGTTAATGGGCCAGACTAGCCAAGTGAATTGACAAATCTACTGTGTCATCAAACTGTTCATCGATATTTTGTTTCACATTAGAATTTTAGTCTAAATGGCAAAATATAGTCATCTTTTAATGATGTCAACCGATGGTATGAGCTGATATCAACTGATTGTATATACCATAGTGATAGTGACCATTTGAAGCTGATCAACCGATTAATGGTGGTGTGATGTTGGATGTCCTAAGAGAGGTCTCTGTTTCGATCCACAGACGTCCTTCTAGTGAACCCAAGACAAAGAGGATCCACACCACCAAAATGGCGTCGTTGAAGAGGGACCAAACCACCTCGACGAATGACAACCAACTCTGCGAAGTGTCTTCTCAAGACTCCACCCACTCTGAAGACGTATCCCACCAATCATTAACAGCAAGGAGGGGCGATGGTCAATCGGACGATTCAGCCACTTCCAAGTACAATGGCGACTTCAACATCTATATTGAGGGTACAGATCTTATTGGTCCAGAGTCCTCCAGGCCTTTGCAGCAGGCCCTTCTTATCAACAGCAGTGACATTCTGTGTCCACGGGACATTTCTGAGCAGATAAATCTACCTCTCTCTCTCAATGAGAGCTTGTTCCTCCAGGACAGACTCCTCCACTTCCACAACCAACCTGTGTCTATCCGCCATGCTCCGGGGCTTAGGAGCTCACCAGAGCAGCCCTCTCCGGGATGCAGGTCTGCCACCCTGCCCCGAACAGGTGGGGCGTACGACCCAGGGCAAGGACAGTCTGTGGGCAAGGACAACCTCACCCAGACTCTACCCAAGGCCCCTCTGGCCACTCTGGAGCACTCCCAGGGGCATGGCAGGGGGATGCAGCCAAGGGGTCTGGAGGGGCTTCAAGGGGACCCGTCCACCTTCAACCCAGAGTCCCGGGGCCACTACTACAGCAGCCTCCCAGAGTCCATCTCAGTTCCCGGCACGCTGAATGAGGCCAGAGGAAGAGGAGGGCACCGTCGTGGGGGTGGGCGTCCCTTTTCCAGCGAGCTCCAGGGAGCAGACCAGAATTCAGAGCATACCCTGTCGGAGCTCACCATGACCAGGGCCAGGCCCTCTCCTCTCGCCCCGCGGGCATGGTTTGTATCCCTTGAGGGCAAACCGGCCGCAGAGATCTGCCGCAACTCTTCCTCCGTCACGGACTCCAAGAGAAAACGCAGGGCAGCGGGGGACAGCCGTGACACCAGCCTTGACTCCGGAGTGGATATGAGCGAGCCCAACAACCAGCCAACTGGTGGGAATAGGCAGATGACGCTGGATCGTAGTGGCACCTTTGTCAAGAGAGCCACGCCCCATATTAAGACCCTCCTTCTCGTCTCCGGTGAGGAAGTGAACAATGGGTGCAGCGGGAAAGGCACCATGGGCGGCCAGACCCCCGATAATGACGCCCCCCTGGGGACCGTCCTGGATGTAAGTGGTGCTAGTGGAACTGCTACCAACATCTCAGAGGAGACAGTGGAGGGGCTGAGTACTTGCCCCGAGAGACACTGAGTTCAGGGCTATATTCAGTTGTGGAATATAAATATATTATGTAGAACAAACATGTCCCCCTGATATGTACAATAAGTATTCATATCAGTTCTATTCATGACATTTCTATCTGGAACGCTCCACAACATTTGCCTACTGAGCGTGTCCCTGGTCCACCTCACCCCCAGGAAACCTTGATAAGGACAATGACAAGAACGAGGCATCACATGGAGGAAAAGCCACTCACAAAGCTCAACTAGAAGCATGAGCTGAAGTTGTGTAGGTGAACAGTCATGGACACAAAATTGCACTGACTGTGTCAATACATGTTATGACAATGCCTAAAGGTGGTGTTTTACAATCTACTGTATTCATCTGTCGAATGCAAACATGGTGAAACTTAAATTAATCTTAGTTTCACTTCACAGGTGTTCAATTTCTTACTAATAACATATAATTAATTTCTATAGACTGCACCCTTACAAGCCCGCAACGCATGTCTTCACTTAAATTTCGTTGTGACTCAGCCTGTCTGTTATTGCCTATACCTCCATAAAGAAAGTCTGTTACATTCCTGGAAGTAAGCGCGCGTTTGCCTCAGCCACATTTTAACTTGTCAGTACGGAAAGTTGTAAGGTCTCCAGATTTACGTTTACTACCAGACCCTGCTCTGTTAGACATCCTGTCCTGTGGTAAGTTATATCTTCCTGTCCTGTAGCCTTTGAACTGTATGTTGGGTGAGATGGCTACTCCCGCTCTGTTGAAAACCAGCTGTTGTTCATAGAGTTTACGGGACTCTAGACTTCTCTCATCCCAAATCTGTCACTTAAATATAACTGCTTGTACTTTCTGGTACTTCACCATGGTCATGGTTTATCAACTAAAGTCTATTCTTCTTGTCTTCCCTAGATTTGTAAGTCGCTCTGGATAAGAGCGTCTGCTAAATGACTAAAATGTAAAAATGTTGTACAATTTATAATGGCATGAGTTGTTGCTTAAGTCAAGATAGTATTGAAACAGTAATTACATTTCCAAATATGCTTGTATGAGCCTATTATGATACATATGAGTTTACTTGCAAATGACTCATCACTGGTTGGCACAGAGGCTTATAAAAATGTGTATGATATTTCAGTTGAACAAAGCACATACACAACTGAAAATATGCATTATCTACTATTGTGATACAGACACTATAGAAGTCAAATATACTGTATGTCTTCAAAAGGGAATGTAAAAACAACTTTGAGCAGACTACATTACAACAAGGCCAATGATCAAATGTTAATTATGATTATTGATAGTTTTTATTTAGGTAATATACACTGTACACTATTAGGGTCACTTCTATGGAAACTTGTATTGCTTTTACATTGTCACTCATCTTTGATTGCTTTTTTAAATAAAACAGCAGCATAAATCAACATTTGTAGTGAGAAAAAGCATTTAGAAATAATTCATATAGTTATAAGAAAACATACAACTCTTACAGTAAAGTTTTTGAAAACGTGTTACTATACATAAGGCACCAATTTAATGATCGGGTTTACTGGTACAGTGTTTTTATTATATGCTGTATGGTCATTATGTGATGAGTGATTCCAAAGGAGTCAGGCGCAAGAGGGTAAATCACAGAATAAATTGATTTATTCCGGAACACAGTTACGCAGTAATGCGTCAAAACACTCCAGTGCGCAAAACAGGCGCACTGGAACCAACACCGCACACAGGGAAATATCCCGGCGATACAAAATACAAGGAGCTCCATCGAGCTTCTCGAACCTCACAATAAACAATCACACACAAAGACAAGGGGGCAGAGGGAACACTTATACATGTACTGATGAGGGGATGTGAACCAGGTGTGTGTAATAAACAAGACAAAACAAATGGAATGATGAGATGAGGAGTGGCAGTGGCTAGAAGGCCGGTGACGACGAACGCAGAAGCCTGTCCGTACAAGGAGAGGAGGCAGCTTTGGAGGAAGTCGTGACAGTACACCCCCCTTGACGTGCAGCTCCAGCAGCGGGCCGACACCGGCCTCGCGGACGGCCAGGAGGACGCGGAGCAGGGCGAGCCGGATGGCGACGGTGGAAATCCCGCAACAGGGAGGGATCGAGGATATCCCTCACCGGGACCCAGCACCGTTCCTCCGGACCGTACCCCTCCCACTCCACGAGGTACTGATGGCCCCCCACCCAATGCCTTGAATCCAGGATGGACCGGACGAAGTAAGCCGGGGCCCCCTCGATGTCCAGATGGGGCGGAGGAACTTACCGCACCTCAGACTGCTGGAGCGAACCAGCCACCACCGGCCTGAGGAGAAACACATGGAACGAGAGGTTAATACGGTAATCTGGAGGGAATAATAACCTATATGTAACCTCGTTTATCCTCCTCAGGACTTTGAACGGCCCCACAAACCGCGGGCTCAGCTTCCGGCAGGGCAGGCGGAGGGGCAGACCCGATCACCGGTACCAAGACCGGGGCCTCACTGCGGTGGCGGTCAGCGTTGGCCTTCTGGCGACACACGGCGCGCTGGAGGTGGACATGAGCAGCGGTCCACATCTCCTCCGCACGCCGAAACCAGTCATCCACCGCAGGAGCTTCGGTCTGGCTCTGATACCACAGTGCCAGAACCGGCTGATAACCTAAAACACATTGAAAGGGCGATAGGTTAGTGGAGGAGTGCCGGAGAGAGTTCTGGGCATATTCTGCCCATGGCAAGAACACAGATCACTCGCCGGCTGGTCCTGGCAATAGGACCTACCCACATCCTGATTCACCCGTTCCACCTGCCCATTACTCTCGGGGTAAAACCCAGAGGTTAGGCTGACCGAGACCTCCAGGCGTTCCATGAACGCCTTCCAGACCCTGGATGTAAACTGGGGACCCCGGTCAGACACTATGTCCTCTGGCACCCCATAGTGCCGGAAGACGTGAGTAAACAGGACCTCCGCATTCTGCAAGGTTGTGGAAAGACCGGGAAGAGGAAGGAGGCGGCAGGCTTTGGAAAAGCGGTCCACAACGACCAGGATGGTGGTGTTACCCTGAGACAGGGGAAGATCAGTGAGAAAGTCAATACACAGGTGGGACCATGGCCGTTGTGGAACTGGTAAGGGCTGTAACTTACCCGCTGGGAGGTGCCTAGGTGCCTTACTCTGGGCGCACACAGAGCAGGAGGAGACATACACCCTTACGTCCCTAGAGAAGGTAAGCCACCAGTACTCCGGTCAGGCAGTGCACTGTACAGCCGATACCTGGGTGACCAGAGGAGGGGGACGTGTGTGCCCAATAGATCAGACGGTCATGGACAAGAGACGGCACGTACTGTGGCCAAGCTGGGCACTGAGGTGGAGATGGCTCTGTGCGTAACGCCCGCTATATGTCCGCGTCCATCACCCTAACTACCGGGCCACAATGCAGGAGGCCGGGAGTATGGGGGTGTTGTCTATGGGCCTCTCCTCTGTGTCATACAGCCGTGACAGTGTGTCTGCCTTCACGTTCTTCGTACCCGGGATGTAAGATAGTGTAAAATCAAACCGGGTGAAGAATAGGGCCCACCTGGCCTGGCGAGGGTTCAGTCTCCTCGCTGCCTGGATGTACTCCAGGTTACGGTGTTTCGTTCAGACGAGGAAAGGTGTTTCGCCCCCTCGAGCCAGTGCCTCCACATGGTCAGGGCTCGGACTACAGCCAACAGCTCCCGATCACCAACATCGTAGTTCTGCTCCGCCGGGCTGAGCTTCTTGGAGAAGAAGGCACAGGGGCGGAGCTTGGGTGGTGTGCCCGAGCGTTGAGATGGGACAGCGCCTATCCCTACCTTGGACGCATCCACCTCCACTACGAATGGTAGTGATGGATCGGGATGGGCCAGTACCGGGGCTGAGGTGAACAGAACCCTCAGGTTACTGAAGGCCCTGTCAGCCTCAGCAGACCAGCGGAGCCGGGATGGCCCACCCTTCAACAGAGAGGTGATGGGAGCTGCGACCTTGCCAAAGCCTCTGATAGTAGTTGGCAAAGCCAAGAAAGAGCTGCACCTCCTTTACCGTGGTTGGAGTCTGCCAATTACGCACGGCTGAAATGTGATCTCCCTCCATCTCCACACCTGAGGTGGTAATGCGGTATCCGAGGAAGGAGACGGACTGTTGAAAAAAACAGACACTTTTCTGCCTTGGCATGTTCATGTTCCAACAGTCGGCCCAGCACTTTGCAAACCAGGGACACATGCTCGGCGCAAGTAGCGGAATAACCAGAATGTCATCGATGTAGACCACTACACCGCGACCAAGCATGTCCCGAAACACCTCGTTCACAAAGGACTTGAAGACGAAAGACAAGGGGGCAGATGGAACACTTATACAGGTACTGATGAGGGGATATGAACCAGGTGTTTGTAATAAACAAGACAAAACAAATGGAATGATGAGATGAGGAGCGGCAGTGGCTAGAAGGCCGGTGACTACGAACGCCAAAGCCTGCCCGAACAAGGAGAGGAGGCAGCTTCGGAGGAAGTCGTGACACATTATCTAACAAGGCAATAACGAATGTGTTTTGAAGCGTCATCCAGCCCAACAGTGTATGCGGAATGCAACAGCGCTGTTGATACCCGAAATGTCACCAATGTCCGAGGTATAAAAGACTTAGAAATGCATGTAACCGTTCAAGCAGGATTGGTGAATCCATCTGGTGAGTGCAACTGTGAATAACTAATCACCTACACACTGAAGAAGGCTGTAAAGCCGAAACGTGAAAAAATGCAATAATGAAGTAAGCTTTATGCGACATATTTTTGAGTGCAAACCCTTTACATCTTTTTGTTTGCAACTGTGAATAAACCAACATGGTAATGCTGAGAAAATTGTGTTGCTTACTATCAGCTAGCACCATAAGAAGAGCATAACACAATTGTATATTTTCTTGGTCACAAAATATCTCTTTCAGGAATGAACCTCGGCCAACCACCCCCATATGCAGAAATGGTTGCAAAAACCTACAGCCATATATTTGCATCAGGGAAATCGAACTGTACAATGGATGGTAACCTCAATATGTCTGTGTTACAGACCCCAGCCCCACAGTGTCCAGGTAAAACTACTGTATTTAGGCAGGTTTTATCTTCACAGGTCTCAGTGGTAGCTGTGTTAGAGAACAGGATAATCTTGACCAATAACCTTGACAAAAAAGCTCAGTGCACAAACATTGTAATTAAAGTTGATATTTCAAATAAAAGAATGGCAACTTAATATATTTCAGTACCATCAAAGCAAACAGAGGATGTGTCCTCTTCTCAGGTAGTCAATCCCAATTTTTCTTATGACAGATGAAAAAGATAATTATTCAACATTATTATTGTTTTCTTTGAGAAACAAACAGCTTATCGCTACAAATTGCTTCTGTAGGGCCCTGTGATGAAAATTATAATTGAGAATAAGGTGAAACTCATTGACTGGCTCCGAGCAGATTCACACTTCATTCATCAACATGTGCACTCCAAACGTATTGTTACCGATACGGCGTATCAAAGGCTGAAGAGGCTCTCAGTACCAGAGGCTGCTGTGACCAACCTGATTGACAAGATGATTCTCAAAAAGGAAAAGACATGCTCTCAGTTTGTTGATACTCTCAAAGAAAGTGAGGTGAATGACACCTATCCCGAACTTAAGAAGTGGATTACCATCTTATTCTGACTAGGTAATGTGGCATGTTAACTGACTAAGTAACATTCTAACAGAATGTAATATTTTATCTTCAACTTCGTTTTTGAAGACTAGATTTAGGAATACCAGAATAGCTCAAACAATACGTATATTATTTGCAGGGACGTGAAATATTGTTATGTTGGGACGGCAGGTAGCTTAGTGGTTAAGAGCGTTGTGCCAGTAACCGAAAGGTCACTGATTCTAATCACCGAGCTGACTAGGTGAAAAATCTGTCGATGTGCCCTTGAGCAAGGCACTTATCCCTAATTGCTCCTGTAGGTCGCTCTGGATAAGAGCGTCTGCTAAATGTTTACTTTTGGATTTCTGAGTACCAATAGTGATCCAAGAAGAGACTGCTGTTTGTATACACCGAAACAGGCCAGTCAGGCTATATGACGATGCATGAATTTCTCCTGATTTAAACTTACTAACTTAGTCCTCTTCCTTCCTATGTGGAACATAAGGCAAATCCTGGTTTAGAGGTCCTATTCAAATGTCAATCCCTGTAGCATGAGGCAGGGATGACCACCTTTCTTGCACTGTGGACCGGAGTAAACATTTCTAACACTGTCGTGAATAAAATAAAAAATGCTGACCAATTTAATTGGGTTAGACTCTCTGCTATTGTGTTCCCATAGTGTTTTTTCACGTTAGTGACATCGGTGCACTATTTCTCAATGTATCACCCTTTTTACTCATCAGAAGGATGTCATGGATGACCTGAATGCTGAAAAAGCTTGAAGAGGTCAATTGGTTATTCATGATAATTTCTCTACATCAGGGCTTTTTTAAAATCACTGTTTTATTAATCTTAGCCACCGGCCTGGTCTCATAGACTAAACATAACGTAGTAAATGTAATTCCAGGATTTCAGATTAGTATGATATGCTACGTTTGGTATGTTTACATAAGACAGACTGTTACTGAAGGCAAAAATGAAAATAGAGTGGTTGGTTGAGGTGGATGGGTACGCGTATAAGGCGAACATCTAACTACCCAAAGGTTGCGTGTTCAAATCATATCACAGACAATTTTAGCATTTTAGACAACTACTTACAAATGTTTAGCTACTTTCCAAGTGCTTAGCATGTTAGCTAACCCTTCCCCTAACTCTTAACCCTAACCTTAAACCCTAACACTAACCCCTAGCCTAGCTATCGATACCCACACCAAATTGGAATTCATAACATATCATACGTTCTGAAAATTTGTAACATAAAGCACAAATTACAATTCATAATATATTGTACCAATTGCAATTTGTAACATATCAAACGAAATGGATGATGGACACCCACAAATTAATACATACCATACGAAAAGTAACATATCATACAAAATGGCTGTCCCGGATTTACTTTTAATATGCTACCTCTACCCCTGAGTCAAGGTTGTTGCCACATGTGTAATAATTGGTGGTAATTATTGGTGGTGGAGCTATTTTTTATTGAGAAAATTAGGACAATATCATCTATAAGGGACACATTTTTTAAAGAAATGTAAGACAATATATTTTGATTATGGTGACTATGGTTCTTTACATTCCAAATATAAAATGTAAAGGTGCAGTCGGAAGATTTCCTGCCACATTACATTTAAATGAAATGTTGTTGAATTATTTATGTTGTCAACCTCCAAGAAGGAGAGGTCCAATAAATTAGACTGAAAGAAACATCTGTAGGCCTATAAACTTCTATCGGCTTATACAGGACAAGAGTTGGACTTGCAATGACAGTCTGTGTTTGACTTTCTTACTGACCTCCCCATCATAATAGACATACACTACCGGTCAAAAGTTTTAGAACAGCTAATCATTCAAGGGTTTATCTTTATTTTAAATATTTTCTACATTGTAGAATAATAGTGAAGACATCAAAACTATGAAATAACACATATGGAATCATGTAGTTAACATCATGTAGTTATTTTATATTTGAGATTCTTCAAATAGCCACCCTTTGCCTTGATGACAGCTTTGCACACTCTTGGCATTCTCTCAACCAGCTTCACCTGGAATGCTTTTCCAACAGTCTTGAAGGAGTTCCCACATATGCTGAGCACTTGTTGGCTGCTTTTCCTTCACTCTGCGGTCCAACTCATCCCAAACCATCTCAATTTGGTCAGGTGATTGTGGAGGCCAGGTCATCTGATGCAGCACTCCAACACTCCCCTTCTTGGTAAAATAGCCCTTACACAGCCTGGAGGTGTGTTGGGTCATTGTCCTGTTGAAAAACAAATGATAGTCCCACTAAGCCCAAACCAGATGGGATGGCGTATCGCTGCACAATGCTGTAGTAGCCATGCTGGTTAAGTGTGCCTTGAATTCTAAATCACAGACAGTGTCACCAGCAAAGCACCACCACACCATAACACCTCCTCCTGCATGCTTTACGGTGAGAAATACACATGCGGAGAATATCCGTTCACCCACACCGCGTCTCACAAAGACACAGCAGTTGGAACCAGATATCTCCAATTTGGACTCCAGACCAAAGGACACATTTCCACTGGTCTAATGTCAATTGCTCATGTTTCTTGGCACAAGCAAGTCTCTCTTCTTATTGGTGTCCTTTAGTAGTGGTTTCTTTGCAGCAATTCGACTATGATGGCCTGATTCACACAGTCTCCTCTGAACAGTTGATGTTGAGATGTGTCTGTGACTTGAACTCTGTGTTGCATTTATTTGGGCTGCAATTCTGAGGCTGATAACTCTCATGAGAGACAGTTTCATTATTGCACTTGATGGTTTATGCGACTGCACTTGAAGAAACTTTCAAAGTTCTTGAAATGTTCCGTATTGACTGATCTTCATGTCTTAAAGTAATGATGGACTGTAATTTCTCTTTGATTATTTGAGCTGTTTATGCCATAATATGGACTTGGTCTTTTACCAAATAGGGCTATCTTCTGTATACCCCCCCTACCTTGTCACAACACAACTGATTGGCTCAAACGCATTAAGAAGGAAAGAAATTCCACAAATTAACTTTTAAGAAGGCACACCTGTTAATTGAAATGCATTCCAGGTGACTACCTCATGATGCTGGTTGAGAGAATGCCAAGAGTGTGCAAAGCTGTCATCAAGGCAAAGGGTGGCTATTTGAAGAATCTCAAATGTAAAATATATTTTCATTTGTTCAACGCTTTTTTGGTTACTGCATTATTCACTATGTGTTATTTCATAGTTTTGATGTCTTCACTATTATTCTACAATGTAGAAAATATTAACAATAAAGAAAAACCCTTGAATGAGTAGGTGTTCTAAAACTTTTGACCAGTAGTGTACATTTGCATGTAGTTATCAAAATATTGAGCATTGATGTTCAAGACATATTTGCATACATTGTATTGCAACAACTAGAATTGGACAATCATCTCTATAACCCTCATAAAATGTGAACACAAAACATCAGAAAACACTAGTAACTTAGCAAATTATTCAGAGCACGTTAGTGAGGGCATGAGGTTCTGCAAACACAAACACCCAATGTCCAATCTTACTTCATTATTAAGTCAAGTAAAGATACAATAATCTTAATATAACTGGGTAAAATGACTTCCTGAATGTTTCTAGATATTGCACAGAAAAACTTCAGCTAAGTGTTCCATGTCTCAATCAACCTATTTCTATTTTATTTCAACTGGTTCCACTCTTACAAGTGTCTTGTGTATTTTTGCCTGCATTACACTGCCTAATCAATCCAGATCTTAGAACCAGTCAATTTTTCGCCTGCACAATGAGATAGTGACTTCAGGTTCATCCCTATCCTAGGATGTCAAGGAAAGGTCAAGGACAAGAGCACATGGCATACCATGGAGGGAAGGTCCACTATTAAATGATGCTCAACTAGGAGCATGTGCTGAAGGTTAAGTGGGTGAACAACAGTCATGGGTTGAATTTGTACTGACATGTTATCACAATTCCTACAGGTGGTGCAGTACATGTAATGTAGAGCATGTAAATACTTCTCCTCAACGTGCATCTTAGGCCACACCCTTGCCAGCATGTCACACAAGTCTTTACTTTCGTTTTCACTTAAGATGTTCTGCTGTTGAATAAACGTAGTTACATAAAGGAAAAAGTTTGCCTCAGCCATATTTTAGGTTTTTAGGACTTTTTCAGGTCTTTAAGTTTTTTCAGTCTTCAGATTTACATTTACTACCAGAACCTGTTTTGTTAGACCTCTATCATTTGGTAAGTTATCTTCCTGTTTTACAGTTTATTCTTGGAGGTACTGAAGCCTCTTTTCCTGAGCCTTGTGTGAAAACCAGCCATTGTCTGTCAAGTTTATGTTACGTCCACCAATACAATTAACTGCTGGAGGTGTTTTGTAGGCCTACTGCCACACAGTTACGGCTTCTTGCCTGAAGACTTTTTTAAGTATTCAGTATTATGTTCAAATTGTATGAATTCTGGAGGTACTTACTTTATCATAGAGTGAAATTGAAAGGGTTAACAGGATACCAGAAAGGGTGACATGGTCTTTTACTTTGTTACAAGATCATAATATAAGTATTATTGTTTGTTCTACTTAATAACATTTAATCATGATGCATTCAAAACCTGAAACCATTGTTTGTTTAATACTCTAAAAACCATCTTGGGTAAACCAGAATCATGCCTTATTAAACATTATATTGGTCCAGTTAAACTTAGATTGCTACCAACCTATAAAAATATTAGACTGTTTTACCCAATAGACATTTATTTATTATTTCCAAATAGGCCATGGAATTTCTGATGTCATACAAGAAGGACCTGTGCAAGTGGTTATCAATGAAGGATGCTAAGTATATCATTGACAAGTGTGAAAATATCCTAACAGCTAAACAGGATAAGGCTATTGGCAAACAAAAAACTGATGCAGGGAAGATCAGTCTTCTTTTGGAGACATTCATTGAAATGGAAGATAGTAAATGTGAGGAATTCCTTAAGATACTGAAGGAAGAGCAGACACATTATCCAGGCCTTCAACAACATTTCAACAAGCGCACACAAGGTAAAGCAGTATACATCAACATTTGTAGTGATATAAACCATTTAGAAATACTTCATATGGTTATGATAAGAAAACATACAACTCTTACAGTAAAGCTTTTAAATATGTCTTACTATACATAAGGCACCAATTTAATGGTTGGGTTTGCTGGTACAATGTTTATTATATTCTGTAAGGTCATATCTAACATGGCAATAACGGATGTGTTTTGAAGCGTCATCCAGCCCAACGGTGTATGCGGAATGCAACAGCACTGTTGATACCAGGAAAGTCACCAATGTCAGAGGTATAAAAGACTTAGACATGCATGTGAACATTCAAGCAGGATCGGGGAATCCATCTGGTGAGTGCAACTGTGAATAAGCCAACATGGTAATACTGAGAAAATGTTGCTTACTAACAGCTAAAAGAAGAACATAACACAATTGTATATTTACTTGGACAAAAAATTTCTCTTTCAGGAATGAACCTCAGCCAAACAACCCCACATGCAGAAATGGTTGCAACAAACCACAGCCATATATTTGCATCAGAGATATCGAACTGTACAATTGATGGCAACCTCAATATGTCTGTGTTACAGACCCCAGCCCCACAGTGTCCAGGTAAAATACTGTATTTAGGCAGGTTTTATCTTCACAGGTCTCAGTGGTAGCTGTGTTAGAGAACAGGATAATCTTGACAAATAACCTTGACAAATAAGCTCAGTGCACAGACATTTTGATTAAAATAATGTTCAATTATGCATTTGATATGTGATATTTGAAATAAAAGAATGGCAACTTAATATATTTCAGTGCCATCAAAGCAAACAGAAGATGTATCCTCATCTCAGGTAGTCAATCAGTTTTTTTAATGATAGATGATAAACTTAATTATTCAACATAATTATTGTTTTCTTTGAGAAACAAACAGCTTATCACTACAAATTGCTTCTGTAGGGCCCTGTGATGAAAAGTATCATTGAGAATAAGGTGAAACTCATTGACTGGCTCCGAGCAGATGCAGGCTTCATTCCCATAGTGTGTTTTCATGTTAGTGACATTGGTGCACTATTCTCAATATATCACCTTTTCTCTTTTAGGACCATCACAGCCCAAGAACATGCCATTTTCTGCATCGATTGCTTCAATTTCAGGTAGATAAATATTGTGAAAGGGCTGTAACACTGAAAATGCCATTGATACATGTATCTTACTTTAAGAATGTAATTAGATTTATGCTAAATATATTTATTTCTCTTCCCTGTGAAAGACAAACATGGGTTTTTGAAAAGTTACCGCACAGCTCTGGTTAGCCGGGTGAAAAATGTGAAGGCCATTGTAGATGATCTGCAGAGCGGAGGTTATCATGATGAAATGGCTGCCACGGTGAATGCCCAGTTGACACCACAAGAAATGATGAGGAAGCTCCTGGATAGCGCGACCAGCACCGGGGCTGCTGAGGCCCTGATTCAAGCCCTTTTTACTCATCAGAAGGATGTCATGGATGACCTGAATGCTGAAAAAGCTTGAAGAGGTCAATTTGTTATTCATTATCATTTCTCTATATCAGGGCTATTTTTAAACTTTTTTAATCACTGTTTTATTAATCTTAAACACCTGCCTGGTCTTGTCACGTACGTTAAGAAACGGGTCGGACCAAGGTGCAGCGTGAAAGGCGTACATGTTTATTAACTAATAAACACACGACACAGTAACCAAAATAACAAACTTAACCGTGACGGTCCAAAGGGCTAACACACAAGCCTAAACAGGAACACAACAAGATCCCACAACACAGGCAGGAAAACTGGCTGCCTAAGTATGATCCCCAATCAGAGACAACGAGCGACAGCTGCCTCTGATTGGGAACCACACCCGGCCAAACATAGAAATACAAACCTAGAATATTCACACCCTGACCAAACTAGCTAGAGTTCTATAGGCCAGGGCGTGACAGGTCTCATAAACTTACATTCGGGACACTCAAATTAGTATGACATGCTACGTTTGGTATGTTTACATATGACAGAAGGTTACTTAAGGCAAAAACTAAATAGAGTCGTTGGTCGGGCTGAATGGGTACGCGTAGAAGGCGACCGTCTAACAACCCAAAGGTTGCGTGTTCCAATCACAACATAAGCAACTTTGCAACTACTTACTACTTTTTAGCTACTTTTCAACTACTTAACATGTTAGCTAACCCTTCCTCTAACTCTTAACCCTAACCTTAACCTTAACATTAACCCCTAGCACTAACCCCTAGCCTAGCTAACGTTAGCCACAACAAATTGTAATTTGTAACATATCATACAAATTGTAATTCGTAATATTATATTGAATTGATGATGGACATCCACCAATTAATATATACCATATGAAAAGTAACATATCATACTAATTGGCATGTCCCAGATTTACATTGACTATGTTATGTCTACCCCTGAGTCTGGGTTTTTGCCACATGTGTAATTATTGGTTGTGGTGCTATTTTTAATTGAGAAAATCAGGACAATATCATCTTTAAATGAAACAGTTTTGTAAGAAATGTAAGACAATATATTTTGATTATGAGTATGGTTCTTTACATTCCAAATATAAAAGGTAAAGGTGCAGTCGGAAGATGTCCCGCCACATTATATTTAAATGATTTAAAAAATATATATATTTACGTTGTCAACCTCCAAGAAGGAGAGGTCCAATAAATTAGACTGAAATAAACATCTGTAGGCCTATAAACATCTATCGGCCTATACAGTGCCTTGCAAAAGTATGCATCCCCCTTGGCGTTTTTCCTATTTTGTTGCATTACAACCTGTTATTTAAATTCATTTTTATTTTGGATTTCATGTAATGGACATACACAAAATAGTCCAAATTGGTGAAGTGGAATAAAAAAACATTCTAAAAAATTTATAACGGAAAAGTGGTGCGTGCATATGTATTCACCCCCTTTGCTATGAAGCCCCTAAATAAGATCTGGTGCAACCAATTACCTTCAGAAGTCACATAATTAGTTAAATAAAGTCCACCTGTGTGCAATCTAAGTGTCACATGATCTGTCACATTCTCTCAGTATATATACACCTGTTCTGAAAGGCCCCAGAGTCTGCAACACAACTAAGCAAGGGGCACCACCAAGCAAGCGGCACCATGAAGACTAAGGAGCTCTCCAAACAGTTCAGGGACAAAGTTGTGGAGAAGTACAGATCAGGGTTGGGTTATAAAAAAATATCAGAAACTTTTAACATCCCATGGAGCACCATTAAATCCATTATTAAAAAATGGAAAGAATATGGCACCACAACAAACCTGCCAAGAGAGGGCCGCCCACCAAAACTCATGGACCAGGCAAGAAGTGCATTAATCAGAGAGGCAACAAAGAGACTAAAGATAACCCTGAAGGAGCTGCAAAGCCGGTGTAGGCCGTCAATGTAAATAAGAATTTGTTCTTAACTGACTTGCCTAGTTAAATAAAGGTAAACAAAAATAAAAAAATAAAAAAAGATATTAAAAGGATTTAAAAAATAAGCCGTACACTCCACAGAGCTGGGCTTTACGGAAGAGTGGCCAGAAAAAAGCAATTGCATATGGAGGAAGGTACTCTGGTTAGATGAGACTAAAATTGAGCTTTTTGGCCATCAAGTCTACCGCAAACCCAACACCTCACTTCACCCCGAGAACACCATCCCCACAGTGAAGCATGATGGTGGCAGCATCATGCTGTGGGGATGCTTTTCATCGGCAGGGACTGGGAAACAGGTCAGAATTGAAGGAATGTTGGATGGCGCTAAATACAGGGAAATTCTTGAGGGAAACCTGTTTCAGTCTTCCAGAGATTTGAAACTGGGACGGAGGTTCACCTTCCAGCAGGACAATGACCCTAAGCTTACTGCTAAAGCAACACTTGAGTGGTTTAAGGGGACACATTTAAATATCTTGGAATAGTTATGCACGCTCAAGTTCTGTTTTTTTTTGTCTTGTTTTTGTTTGTTTCACCCCAAAAGTATTTTACATCTTCAAAGTGGTAGGCATGTTGTGTAAATCAAATGATACAACCCCCCCATAAATCCATTTTAATTCCAGGTTGTAAGACAACAAAAAAGGAAAAATGCCAAGGGGGTTGAATACTTTCGCAAGCCACTGTACAGGCCAAGAGTTGGACTTGCAATGACAGTCTGATTTACTTTGTCTTACTGACACACCCATTGGTGACTGGTCATTCAGGGCTGGTTGATCAGACACATTAATACGTGTAACATATCAGTTTGCAAACAATGTAAAAAAACAAAACATAATTGAGTTAATAAAGCCGCATACAAACATGGTCTCTTTTTTGCTTTCTTTAGTAAGGCAGCTCCAAAATGCAGGTGTTTCAGCCTAGCTCAGTGATTTCTGCAGTGGCGGGGCAGCCAGCGGAAAATACGGAGCGTAGGGGTTGTTCTCTAGTTGCTCCGTGATTGGCTCAGTGTTCTGTCACTCATGGGGACACTACGTCACCGCAAAGTCTACGGGAGAGCTCAAAAATTCAAGCCCCTTGGGTGCTGCCATAGACTTACATTAGAAGTGCCCATCCAAGAAGGCTCAAGGTCATTGGCCACAGATAAAAGGACGTCAAATCACGTTATATCTACCGTAGCTTTGATTGGACTGATCATGTCAACATCATACTTAAAAAATCTCAGCTAGCAAGCTAAACAAGCAGTCATCATGAATTAAGTTGACAATCTACTGGCAAATCGTTTTTTCAATCCTTGTCATATGAAGAGAAATTATTAATAAATCGTATCGGTGCTCATTGGCCATTGGACATAAACATTACTCAACAAGTTGGAAATCGCTAATTCAACAATAAGTTTGTTTGGAAGGAATCAGTGGCTAACTGCAAGCGTTGCAAAGCAATCACTAGCCTGCTATTCAGTGGAGTGGGTGTGTGGTCCACGTCTGGGTTTAAGGGTCTCTTTTCCAAGCTTAAAAGGATAAACATTCACATGCAACACCATGGGCCAGAAAATATTTAATACTTTGGCTATCCTGTCAATCCAGCATGACTTCTGCCGTGTTCAAAACAACTGGAAACTCGGAACTGGGAAATCTCAGACGTCAATGAGTTCAAGCCAACTGGGAAAATACGTTTTGAATGGTCATCCAACTCGGAATTCCAAGTCGGGAACTCGGGCCTCTTTCTAGAGCGCTGACCTGAAGATCACTAACGTCATGATTCAACCTTGTTTTTTTTTCTCCGAGTTCCCAGTTGTCTTGAAAGCACCATAAATCCAGAGAATGCCACACTTCAATGACAAAGTTTGATGACAAAATGTGCCCACAAGAAGCACCGCCGCCCCACCATCCTGCTCAAGTGAGCACAGCACAACAAGATGAGTCCAAAAATGTATTGTATGCTGCTGCATAAATTATGTAATATGCCAGGGAGATATGTATACTGTAGCTAAGAAAGTAATACTAAGTGTATGTTGTGTAGTAAGCTGTTAGTAGCCCATGTGCCTCACCCTAATAATTTGGTCCCTTTCCCCCTCATTACTTAGCCTGACTTGGTGGTGCACATGTAGCCTATAGCCTGTTTTAGAGAAATGTAATCATCTAATATTGTAAGAGCTTTCATTGTCTGTTTATATGCCACCTTTATTTATCCTACGGTTCTGACTTGGTGTTCAGGGAGAATACTTTAAAAACGGCCCATATTCTGAATTCTGTTGCTGTACATTTCAAAAGTGCTGAACAAATAGTTATATTGACTACGTCCGTCCTAGCTCGCTCATCAATGTCTTAATCGAAATTACGGATTGCCTCTTATCTGCTCGTCGTCCCCTTATGCCATAGTTTGTACATCTCAATTATCAGTAGAAACCACATTTGTTTAAGCAAGTCAGCCATATCAGCTATGTTTTTTTTAAAGGCAGTAAATGAGGCTGAATGAACTGTTTCGCTGCCAGACAAGACTCTGTTGATAGCCAGGTGTAGCAGTGGTAAGGATTCACTCCATGGTGCTGAAAAGAAAGCTCTGCCATTGGGACAGCTTTATGTTGGCCCTAACAGTTTGTGAGCACCGTTTGTTACCGTTATAGTGCAATTCATGTATTGTTTAGTGTTGTGTTGTGTAGGGGCTTTGCTGGCATGCATAAACATGATACTTTTTTTTGTTTGCCCCACCAAGATTTACATACTAAAATCGCCACTGGACACACCCCATCATAATAGACAATACATTTTTCAAGTAGTTATCTAAATATTGACCACTGATGTTTAACCATATTTGCGTACATTTTATTGCAACAACTAGAATTTGACAATCACCTCTTTAACCCTCATAAAATATGAACAAAAAAAATCAGAAAACACTAGTAACTTAGCACATTATTATTATTATTATTATTTAAAAAAAAAATTATTTTCACCTTTATTTAACCAGGTAAGCCAGTTGAGAACAGGTTCTCATTTACAACTGCGACCTGGCCAAGATAAAGCAAAGTAGTGCAATAAAAACAACACAGAGTTACATATGGGGTAAAAAACATAAAGTCAGAAATACAACAGAAAATATATATACAGTGTGTGCAAATGTAGCAAGTTATGGAGGTAAGGCAATAAATAGGCTATAGTGCAGAATAATTACAATAGTATTAACACTGGAATGCTAGATGTGCAAGAGATTATGTGCAAATAGAGATAC